CTGTAAGATAGGTCTAATTATCCCAGCGACCAGTCAGTCCAAGGAGAGGATGAAACATGAGCTGCTGGGCATCCAGGACCCAACTGCCTCGTCCTCTCTTGTCGAGGGTGGGCTGCGTTATCCCAGGGGAGTGCAGAGCAGTTAGTACAGGCTGGGTTGAAAACGACTCAGCAGACAAGACTCTGTGCCAGCCAGCAGGGCAGGAGTGGCCCTTGCAAAGCCACAGTTAAAAAGGCTGTGAACCTGTGCCCGGAGCATCGTGAAACATTAAATTATTTAAACTTATGGCTCAACAAGTCACATTTAAAACCAGGCAGTACATGTGCAGAAACTCCCTGCCCCCCGCCCCATGTCCTGCCCTTCTCTCTGCTCTGATGGTCATGGCTGTCTACGGTCTGTCTTCTCTGGGTACAAGTGTGCCGTGGCCAGTCTCTTTCCAGAAATTTCCATGTGCACTTGGTCCAACTCATGGTGGTGTCTTGAAATTGGCTCTGGTGGGAGTATTTGTACCAAAGGAATTGGCGAGCCCCAAGAGTTATGCTGTCTTTGCAGAGAGTCAGTTCTGAAGAAGCAGAGTCTGGCTGGAAAGGTGAATGGTGTGAGCAGATATCACGTGAGTTGGGGAGGCCCAGGGCCCATGCACACCCCAGGCAGAGCTCTTTGCTCAGGTCCTGGAGGGCTTCTGCAGGGGTCATTGTCACCAGCATGCGTGTCGCCGGATCTCAGCAGGCATGGTTCCCCGGCCAGATGACCAACGTGAATGCTCCTGACCCAGTTCCTGCTATCTTGGAACCTGCCTCCCCTGAGAGCTGGGGAAGGTGGCCAGATCTCCAGACATGTCATAAGTGAAGTGTCTTTTAAATTTGGGGGAGCCCCCCTCCCTCCTACCCATGCAGGCATCAGACATTGGCCAGGACTTTAAAGACTGAATATTGTCTCAAGGCAGATATGGGGCTTTGAGGTAATGTGGTGAAGAGAAAGGAGACCTCTGCCCTGCCTTCCCTGTGATTAATCCCAGCCTCCCACAGTACCTCCAAACTATGCATCTGTGGGAAGCAAAGGTCAGCATCATCATACCAGCTAACATGTCCTAAGCACTCTGCTCATAATCTCCTTCTCTCTTCATCTCACAGCGGATCCTTTAGCTGCCCCTCTTCCTGGGTTCAGGTCAGGCGGATTCATCCTGCTTATCTTTTATGGCTCAGCTGATGGGTCAATTGCTTTTTAGAAGCTTTTATGAACTTAATAATGTCTGCAGACTGCAGGTCTTGCTCAGTGCTGAGGTGTCCAGTCAACAAGTCCCATCACTCCCTCCACTTTAGAGATGCAGACACTGGGGCTGAGCAGCCACACAGCTTCTCAGGGGCTGAGTGGAGCGTTAACCATTCCCCTGAGCCCCTGCTTCTTGCAGTCCATAGGAAGAAGCCCATCCCACAGGCGGCCTTTCCCACTCCTGTGACTCTGTTGGGGAGGAGATGTATGCATTCCCCGTCAGTATTCATTGAACCCCTACTTCTCAGGCACTGGCGATTCAGCACTCAACTCGCCCAGCACGTCTGGGATGTGATTCAGCTCTCGGCTGGCGTGATTCAGCTGTGACCAGCCTGGGCTGGGGGAGGGTGCAGGCTGGGGTCATGGGTGAGCAGTGGGAACAGTCTGTGCAAAGCAGAGATCTGGGTGCTGTCCCTGAGCTGATGTCCCGCACGCTCAGCCCACGATTCATCTTCCTGGCAGGCTTTCCTAAATACTGGCAAAGGCAGCCAGCTGCTGACGCACTGAACTTAGCCTGCCTTCCCTTTCCTCGTCATTCTTGAGAAGCAGATTTGTTGGTGGCTTGCATGGCCCAGGAGACAACCCTAAAGGAGACACAGACTGGATGGGGGACTCCATGACCAGTTAGTCCCTAAAGGCAACCAGAACCCTGGCTGGGCTGGGGCGGGGGTGGGGACGCAGGGGCTCTTGGCTGAGGTGGCATGCTGGAAGTTCCCTGAGCAGCCAGAGAACTTGACTTCAAATCTTAGTTCCCCCTCAAACTAGCTGTGTGGCCTCACAGATACTGGCTCGTGGCTCCTAGACTCAGTTTTACTTTCTGTAAAATGGTCTAGAAAGCAGAATCAACACGGCCTTGAGATCTGGGAGTGCAGATGGCTCCCTAAGTATCATTCTTCATGCCACAGACCTGAGACCTGAAAGCTCCCCACCCCCCACCACTTCCCTGTGGTTCTCAGGAGTCCTTGGTGCCGGTGTCTTATCTGTGGTCTCTCAAACTTGGTTTTGCAAGTGCTGCAAAGGAAATCCACATCTCTGAGAGAACATTTCTCCATACCCTATAGCTGTCCACACAGAAAACTCAAGGTCTTGGCAAGAGGCCAGGGGTGAAAGGACTGAGAGCTGGGGAGGGCTTCTGCAGAAATGAGGCTTGTATTTGGCAACCCTGGAAAAATTGGGGGGCAGAAGTGCAGACCAGAGGGTATATGGCCCCCTGTCTCCTCTCTCCCCCAGTGCTGAAGTGTGAGATTTTCCAGGACCTTAGCAAAGCAGCCTGGAACCTCAGCTGCTGGAGGGCCCTCTGCCAAGAGCACCCATCAGTGGCCAGAGTCAGAGGTCAGCTTGTCACACCTGAGTCAAGGGCACGTGGGTGGAAGGGGGGCGTGGGGTGTCTGGGTGAAACATCACCATGATATGGAGGTCTCACTCCCCTGAGGGTGTCACATTGGTGCCTACTCATGAACAGAGGCACTGCCTGACCTGGGAGGCTGGTGAACAATCCACTCTACCTGGTGTCTGCATGGAGGCAGAGGGTCAGAGAGCTTGTAGTACAAGATTGGGGTGTTTGTGGGTAATCCTCCCCTGTCAGGAAGCCCCTCCTGGGGAGGGCACAGTGGCATTAAGTAAAGGCACATGCTTTCTCCTCTTAACTGCATCTCTTGACCCGGCAGCGGTGTCTGGGCCTTGTCCTGCCTGGCCTCGTGCACTGGGAGGTGGTCATATATGGCGTGGCTCTGAGATTCCACATGGTATCCCTCAAAAACTCTCCTGCCCCAAAGGGAATGCCTCAGGAGGGAGGGTAGCCACAGCCTGTGCCCCTGGGGGGAAGCCAGGCCTCCCCCTCCTGGGATGTGGTTATGGATGAGGTTATTTTTATCTGGATTGCAGGCTCGGTCAGGACCCTGGAGAGTTTCTAGGGTTGGTAATGGGAACTGCCAAGTTCCCAGAGCTCTTGGGCTCTGAGCTCTGTAGAATGTCTGCCAGGGTGTCCCCTCCCACTCTGGCTGCCCTCTGGCAGCCTGGTTATTGCTAATGGGGAAGGATTGGGTCTCTGAGGGCTTCACAAGGTTCAGCATGGAGGCACAGCTGCCCCCTCCCCCACACAGGTAGGATCGTGAGTACCTCCACCAGCTCCTGGTGCTGGCTCTCCTCATTCCTGGCAGCAGGGTCGGGGCTGGGTGGCTGCTGGGTGGGGGTTTCTACATGGGCAACTGATGGACAGGAGTAAAACAGAGGTAAAAGGTGTGAATGAGCACCTTCACACCACCTGGCTTATCTTCTTGAGCCTAATGATGGATGGGACCATGAGTTGTGTTCCCATCAATGGGAGTGAGGTGCTTGGCCCACAGGAGAGAGAGGCCAGGCAGCATGATGGAAAATTCTAGACCTGCAGTCATCAGACCAGGGCTTGAGTCTCAGCTCTCCTGATCTGTCACCACCCTCAGCCTCAGCTTCTTTATCTGTAAAATGGTCATGAAGATTGGAAGGGATGGCATGAGCATCTGGCCCACCTGGGTGCTGAGGAAGGGTCTCTGGACCGCACAAGTTCACCTGGTCAGACTTGGGCCTTGGAGTTTGAGTTAGTAGGTGTGTTTTGAGGCTAAGGCAACTTTTCGTAAGGTGCATGTCAGGGAAGAAAGGCTAGCAAGATGCATTATTGGGAAGGAGCTGCATCCCAGAAGACCAGGAAGGGCTATCAGCTACCTTTACTGCTGTGCAGTCAATACCGCGATCTCTGCGAAAGGGTGTGGGGGGTAGTCCTAACTCATGCGGGATCTTGAGTCTCTGCCCCACATCCCCCAGGATCCACAGGTGTCAAGGTCAGGGCTCCAGGGATGCTCTTTGGGACTCAAGTTGGGGCTGTGAAGTCCTAGGAGTCCAGTCCCCCATCTTCTGTCCCCTCTGCACTACCATTGGTTTTATCAGCCAAATATCATGTAGCCTGTTAACTCAGACTGGCATGGACCTGATTAGCAACAGGTAACCATCCCCAGGTGGTGGTCAGGTCCTCACTGACTTGGCAGCCAAGGCACAGCCCTGCCCTGGCCATGCCTGTAATAAGCTGGCCAAGGTGTCACCACATGCTGCTCAGTGGCTTTTCTGGAAAGGTCCAGGATGAGAGTAGGGTACATAGACCCCCCTGGGAGATCCTTTTCTTTTTCTGCTGTCATTTTTTTCCAAAGATCAAATTGGCAGGTAGTTGGTGCTGAGCAGAGCACATGGCAGGGTGACTGTCCTCTTGTGTGACATGTGGGTGGAGTCTGGTGGAAGGAGCTCTGAAGGTACCTCACATCCTCTTTTGGTAAACTGAGTCATACTTTCCAGGGAGTAGGAAGTCTGCTGCTAGCCTTGGTCCCTCAGTCCTTTGGGGAAGGTGAAGTGACTTTGTCACTCATTTGGGGACTAGAGACAGAACATAATTCAGGCCACAGACCTACATGATTCCCAAGTGAGTAGAAATGTTGACTCAAAATCAGAAAACCCCAGAGCAAAGTCTAGTCCTACAGAGGGGAGCCAGGGGGTCTGTGTGCGGCCGCTCACCCTCCTGGGAACTCTTTCTTAAGTGCCGGCTCCACCACTTCCTGTCCATGGGACCTTGGCATTAGCTTCTGTGGGGCTCAGTTTCCACCTCTGCCATCAGGGAGAACTGTGCCTGTGCCACTCAGCCTCAAGCCCACACCGTGGTCACTTCACTGACGCTTTTGTCCTGTCGCTTCTGTTTCCTTCCATAGTGCCCAGCCCAGAGCTTATCAGTCACCCCAGATCTCGCTGTGTGGGAGCCATGAGCAGTGTCCTGAGCGGCGTCCTCCCTCTGGGCCTGGTGCTGCTGGTCTGCGCCACCCAGGGCTTCTTCCTGCCCAACACCACTCGCCTGGAGAAGCTGCTCAGCCGATACCGACAGGACGAGCCTCACGCCAGGGCGCGGAGGGCCATCCCTAGGTCGGACCGGGAGGAGATCCTCATGCTTCACAACAAGCTGAGGGGCCAGGTGTACCCCCCGGCCTCCAATATGGAGCACATGGTGAGCTCGGTGCTCTGGGGGCAGGTGTAGGCCCTGGGTGTGGACAGGCTGCTAGTCTTGGTCCCTGGCAGTCCTTTGGGACAGGTGAAATGACTTTGTCACTCATTTGGGGACCAGCAACAGAACATAATTCAGGCCACAGACCCACATGAGTCCGAGTGAGTAGAAATGTTGACTCAAAATCAGAAAACCCAGGAGAAAAGTCTAGTCCTGCGGAGGGGAGCCATGGGTTCCCCATCTTTATTCTTGATGCTCCACCCACATAGCACCCAGGCATCCACACAGGGGTTTCCCCACTGCTGACACCGCCCCTCTCCTTGGCACATTCTACCATGCCCTCCCCAGGGCAGAGTTGGGGTTTGGAGCAGGGTTCTGGAGAGCCCAATTGAGGAGTGTGAACCAGACACGGCCATCTTGAGCCTCAGTTTCCACTTTGCAGCCCCACCTCATGTGGCACCTAGGACAGTGGGCACGGACAGTGGACATGGGCTGCAGACCCTCCTCCCGGGGCCATGGCATTGCCCTTGGAATGTACCAACTCTGGTTCTCAACCCCTGGCCATACGCCTTCCATTGAACGGAGGCTGAGTACAAGAGAGAGGAGGTGTCTGTCACAGAGGAGAAGGTAGAGAAGGGACAGTGGCGGGACCCCTGTGACTTTGGAAAAGTCCTACTTGAGGAGCAGCCAGTTGCCAAGTGCAGGCCATCTGCCCTGTCTTCACGCACATTCCTCCATTTCTGTTGACGCCATTCTCCTTCTGTTAAAGCAAATTTCCAAGCTAGAGCTGGGACATTTCTTTTTTTTACTTTTTAAATAGACTTTTTAGCTTTATAATTTTTATAGATTAGGAAATTGAGGCTAAGGTCACATGGCTGGTCTTGGCAGAACTGGAATTCGAACTGGAGTCTGGCCGACCACAGGACATGCTCTAAGCCACCTATGTTCAGTTTGCACTGTCACACCTAGCCAGGGTGGCCTCAGCCCTGGGTAGTAACCCTTGGGAGGGCTATCAGGAGCCTTTACTGCCATCAACTAACACTTCCTAAAACTTTCCTTTCTCTGGCTCAGGACCCTCTAGGGTCTAGCCTCAGGACCCTGGACTTAGACACACAGCAGGGGAGCAGTCTGTCTGCATGGCCCCTACGGTGCCTGTACTATTGTCCTGCTTATATTGCTTCTTGTGCTTCTGGATTGGAGATGGGATCTGGGTGCTTAGATCTAAAGGAGCTGCTGTTGGGGTGCTATGGGCTGCTTCCAAGACAGAGTGTGATGCAGGACAGGCAGTCCCAGGCTCAGCTCCTCCCTTCAGCATCCTGGGACCTCAACTTCTGCTTCTAAACAAGTGAGGTGTGTGGGCCTCCCCTGGTGGCGCAACAGTTGAGTGCTGGGTTGCAAAGCTGCCCGCAGCCTCTGCAGTGCCGGTTTGATCCCCGGCCACCTGCAAGGGTCCCACATGGCGCACAGACCTCTCCTGCTGCGCCTGCTGCTCCCCTCAGCAGTGTACTTCGGTCCTTCTGCCTGTTCTGCTCCCTGCTCTGGCTCTGGTGAATTCTCTCACCCTCCCGCGCTTCTGCCTGTACCCGGTGCTTATATAAATAAATACATACATACATACATACATACATACATACATACATCTTTAAACAAGCGAGGTGTGGCTTTCTACTCAGCTTGCCTGCTGGGGCTTCGTGCCAACGTCCATTGAAATCACCTCAGCATCAAAGGCGGGTTTTAAACTCCCAAGAATGCAGGCACCCTGTTGTGAGGTCTTATATGTGCACAGTCTCTGGAGCCACCTGCCTCCACAGACTTGGGTAGCTGCTGCTTGCTAGCTTGCTAGCTCTGTGACTTCAGGCGAGAGCTTAGCCTCTCTGTATTTTTGTTTCTTCACCTGCTGTGGGACAATAAAAGCACCTCTCTCTTAGGGTTGTTTGGAGGTGTCTGTAAGATAATATACTAAATAAATAAGCGCTAGCTGTACTATTGTCATGATTATCTTCGTGGAACGGGACCAGCCCTCAGTGACAGTATGTGGGGCAGGAAGAGCTCCCCTTGGAAGCCAGACCAGGCTGGGTCCTTCACGTTCTAATTTTCCAGCTGTGTGGCCGTAGGCAAGTTACTTAACCTGTCTCAGCCTCAGTGTTTTCATAGTCTGCAACAATGGAGAAATAAAACATACCTCAAGGACTTGTGGGAATTAAATAGAAAATGATGCTAATACTGGGTGCTGGAGGCAGTTTCCTTCATAATGGGGTGTGTTGACTGAGGGCTTGCCTCTGGCAGAAGACCATTACCCACCTTTCCCGGGGCACTGCCCCTTCAGGGAGCATCAGGTAGCCCCCAGCTTGGAGAAGGGGTCACCTCCTTGGCACAGGCAATTTGCGTGTGTGTGTCAGGGGTGATCCATGAGTCCAGAAGACGGGAAGGAGGAAGTCCTACATCAAGATCCCTACTATGGGGATCTTGGTCCTGTTGGGATGGGCTGAATGATGGCAACAGCAGGAGATCACCCTCCGGAGGTGGGTGCTTTTATCCACAGGCCTGGGTTGCTGGGCCCAGGCCTGTTCCTGTGGGTGCTCACACATCAGGCTGTGCTTACTCACTGGCAAAATGCCTACTGAGCTGAAATGGAAGTTGGGTGAAGAGGTCTGCCCCAGGGGAAGCCTGGCCCTCCTGTGTTGCTCTCTGTTTCTTGGCTGAAAACAGGGGAAGGGGACAAGGCAGCTTCATGTTGTTGGTCTCACCCACTTCCTCATCTCAGAAGGTCCCAGGACTCTTACTGGACAGCTTTTTAGTAGCACCTACCGTGTGCTAGTGGTTGGGGCCATCCAGAGCAAGGGGATAGCTCCTGCCTGTCCAAAAGCCGAAGTGTGGCCAGATGCTCTGAGAGCAGGTTTGGCTGCTGCTTGCTGAGATCCCCCTGGGCTGCTGGACACTGGACCTCCGCAGAGAGAAGCCAGCACTGGCTTTGCACTTGCCCAGAGTTCCGTGCCTTGCTGGGCCAGCTGCAAGAGTGGCCTTCAGTGTCTCGCCAGACCCCTGCCCAAGTCCCTCTGGTTCAGGGTGGGCCAAACGGAGGGAAGCAGGGACTGGCAAGTTGACATTTCTTGCTGTTTCTTAAAAAAAAAAAAAATGGTAAAATATATATAATATAAGCTTATCATCTTAGCCATTTTTAAGTGTAATCATTTTTAAGTTCATGGCATTGAGTACATTCATTGCTGTGCAGCCAGACCCACTGTCCTCTCCAGAGCTTATTCATCACTCCCGTTTCAGGTGGGAGGTCCCAAGGCTGAGGGTGGTAAGGATCAGCCCAGTGTGCCTGCAGTTAGGGGTGGCAGGAGGACAGCCCTGCATCAGGTTCCCTGAGTTCTTGCCCACCTACCGCTTCCAACCTGCTGAGTAAGGAGCCTCGCCAGATGTGCAGCCACCCTGTCCCTGAGACAGAAAGGGCGGATGTCACTACGTTTTCAGGTCTTCTGTCCATTCTGACCTCCTGGTGTCTTTTTCCTCCTCCTGCAGAGTTGGGATGAAGAGCTGGAGAAGTCAGCCACGGCCTGGGCCCAAGAGTGCCTCTGGGAGCACGGGCCTACCAGTCTGCTGGTGTCCCTCGGGCAGAATCTGGCTGTCCACTGGGGCAGGTGAGAGCCATGGGGACCCCCCCCCCACCTTTCATATGAACTGACCGCCACTGCTGAGCAGCTGCTGTGCATCCGACCTGGTGCTTGCTGTCTGTGGTTGCATTTTGCTCTCTACCATCACCCATTAAGAGACAGACCACCTGTGCCATTGACATGTAGGGAAACTGAGGCTGGGTACCCAGGAACATTTACGGTTCCAGCCTGATTGGCTGACTCCAGACTCTGATGGCTGGGCTAGGGTATGATAGAGCGTAGCCCCCCATCCTTCTCCTTTAGAGGTTTCTTTCCACTTGTGGGGTAGGACCTGGCTGAATAGTCTGGGAAATAGGGGTGCTTGCCACCACAGCCCCCCACCCCAAACTGTTCCTAGCCTGTCTGAATCCTTTTCCTTTGTGCTCTTTGAGGCCCAGTAACGTTCCACTTTGTGAGCATGTGACTCCATCTCCCCTACCTCCTCTGGCCATAGTGGAGGGGGACGCGTTCATGAACTGGGAGGCCTCAAGTCCTGGCAGCCCACTGGCCCCATCACGCCATAGGCGCCTCTTGGTGGTGGTCTGTCACAAGTCACACCAGCTGAAAGTCGGGGTTTCATCAGAGGAAGAAAGTGGAGAACATGTCTGACTCTGGCAGCAGTACCAGGGCCTCGGGGACCCCTTTCATTGTGCCCTCATCCCCACCAGAGTTAGACTGGACTTTAAGTAGCACCTCAAAACATAGGTCGGGGTTTGCCGACCTGAAGGCCAGAGATTTCCTAGCTCTTTGGGCCTGGGCTTGACTTTTGCCGCAGGCAGAGACCCGGGGCCTTCAGGTTGGAGTCTCTAGACCCGGGATCTTGTGCCAGGGCTCCGGGCCTCACTTCCTGGAAGTGCGTCAACTCAGTATTTTTTTTCCTTCGGGGATTTTGCTTTTTATAAAATCAGTCTGACCAAAGCATTAAAAGGAAATGCCTAAAGGGAAAAAAATCCATCATCCCACTGCCTGCTTCGGCTCCTTTGTAGTGTTTGGCTGGAGGCCGGCGTGTTTTTACGTCGTTATAGCTGTGGCCAGGACAGCTTTTAGTAATTTTTTTTTCTTCTCATACATTATAAAATGATTTTCTAGGCCAGTCTACGGGGCTGACGTTTGTGAGGCTGCTGACTGGCCAGCACATCAACAGACCAAATTCTAGCCATCCGGTCTTGTGGCATATTTTTTCAATTCCCATTGGCTCATTAGGAGGATCCCATTAGGAGGACTCGGAGGAGCTGGAGAGGGGTGCTTCACACCAGTGCCCACAAAGCACAGAGATTCCCCTGCTGCACGAGTATCGCCCACTTGCTTCCCCAGGAGCCCCTCATTAGCAAGGTCTGTCGCCCAGCTGGTCCAGGGGAGAGGCTGCCACCTCAGTGACCGCCACCATGTGCTGTGGGCTCTGCCAGTAATTGTTACAAGCCCTCTAAGTGCCCGCCGACCACAGGGCTGGTGCCTGGCCTGCCCCTGTGTCTTTCCTCGGTATTGAATCTGCTTTATTCGCACTTGCTGGTGACAGAGACTGACCGTGGCTTTGCATCCAGTTTATTTTCTTTCCAGTAGCCAGTCCCACCTGGCAGATGGGACAGTGTCCCAAAGAGACTCTCCTTGCTGTTGAGAGCTCAGGAGGGGCTCGGGTGATAAAAGCCTAACAGGAGGTCTCAAAGGGTTTGCCCACCCCCCCTGCAGAACTGTGCACATGTGCACATTTCTGTGCCTTGATTGAATTTTCAGCTCCTTGACTGAATTTTCTGCCTTCTAGCTAAGTCTGGGGGTCCCTGGCAGTCTGTTGTGATGATACAGAAACTTGAGGTGCTAGGCTCGGTTTTGGGGGTACCCACATGCCCCATCCTCCATAGGCAGCTATTTGCAAATGTTCAGATCCTCCCTGGAGCAGTAGGCTCAGTGATTGCCTCAAGATGGTTCTCTATACTCACTTTCAATGGACTCACGCTTCTATCAGGTTTTGTCTTAGCAATATCTGAAACACAAGTTTTCCTTGCTGCGTATAAAATAAACACACAATTGTTAACATAATAAAGGACTCATTAAGGACTAGGTAAGTTTCCTGCACACCCAGGTTTGTAGGCCACCTGAGGACACTTCTGGAGCCCCGGGGGCACCCGGTTGAGCTCCTCGCCTATTGCACCTGAAGCCCCTTGAACAGGTGCTGGGTAAGACGGGGCACCTGGCCCTGAAGGAGTTCCTCCTCCAGCCTCCCCCCCTGTAGGTGGCAGTGCTGTTATCTCCATGGTTGGGTGTGTAGTGGCCAGGGCGTGACCAGCTGATATACCCTGCAGGTACCGCTCCCCTGGATTCCACGTGCAGTCTTGGTACGACGAGGTGAAGGACTACACCTACCCCTATCCCCATGAGTGCAACCCCTGGTGTCCAGAGAGGTGCTCTGGGGCCATGTGCACCCACTACACACAGGTAATCCTGGAGGAATGGCCGCCACTCCTCCCTGAGCCCCCAAACCCAGTCACTCACCTGGCCAGCCCTGCAGGATTATTGCCCCTCCCAGAACCTCTGTTCTGTCCTTGCCTTCAGCTTTTCCTTTAATCCAGTGCTACTCCACGGGTATCTGCTTGTGTGCATTTTGCCATGTATGGAAACAGAAAACCAGAAACCTCCATGGCAGTTTTATAGTGCTGGGGCATTTCCTTTCACTGTTCAGTTTGTTTTCTTCATTTTGGGGGGTTTGGTTTGATTTTTAAAAAGATTTTATTTATTTATACAAGAAATGGGGTACAGGGCAGAGGCATAGGAAGGGTGAGAGAATTCACCAGAGACAGAGTGGGGAACAGAACAGGCAGACTAACTGAAAGACACTGCTGAGGGGAGCAGTGGGGGAGTCAGGAGAGGTCTGCTGTGCCATGTGGGTTGCTCCCTGGCGGGCCATGGATCGAACTCGTGCTGCAGAGGCTGCAGATTGCTTCATAGTGTGGTGCTTAACCCCTTGTGCCACCAGGGAGGCCCTGATTTTTTTTTTTAAGATTTATTTATTTATACAAGAACTGGGGTACAGTCAGAGGTGCAGGAGGGTGAGAGAATTCACCAGAGACAGAGCAGGGAGCAGAACAGGCAGATGGACAAAAGACACAGCTGAGGGGAGCAGCGGGTGAGACAGGAGAGGTCTGCCGCACCATGTGGGAATCTCCCTGGTGGGCCGGGAATCAAACCTGCGCAGAGGCTGCGGACAGCTTCACAACGCAGCACTCAACCCACTGCACCACCAGGGAGACCCTGTTTTGGTATTGTAACAAATATATGGCTCTCGGGCCACCCCAGTGGTGCAGGGGTTAAAGTCTCAACACTATCAAGCTATTGGCAATCATTGCAGCAGGAGTTCAATCCCTGGCCAGGGAGGTGACCCACATGGCCCAGAAGAACTCTCCTGTCTCGCCCGCTGCTCCCCTCAGCAGTGTACTTCAGTCAATCTGCCTCTTCTGCTCCCCACTCTGTCTCTGGTAAATCCCTCACTCCCTGCACCTCTGGCCTACACCCCAGTTCTTCTATGCATAAATAAATAAAAATAAATCTTTTAAAAAAACAAACAAAAAAAACCCCAAATGCATGGCTCTTCAATGGGCTGGGGAAAAGTCTGGTCCTTCAGCACATGCCCCCGTAGACCCATGCCAGATGCTGCTGCCCCGGTGTGCCTGGCCCCCACGCTCTGACACATGGACATTGCCTTTTCAGATAGTTTGGGCCACCACCACCAAGGTCGGCTGTGCTGTCAACACCTGCCGGAGGATGAATGTCTGGGGAGATATTTGGGAGAACGCTGTCTACCTCGTCTGCAATTACTCTCCAAAGTAAGAAAAGTTGGCATTGTTGGGTGGGTGCAGGTATATTTTTCTGCCTTCAAGGGCCCAGCTAAAACAGGCTTCAGCTGTGACGTCTCTTCGTGATTTCACATAATAAGATATCAGAGGTTGGTGTGTCCAGGTTACTAATAGCTCAGCGGTGTCAATAAGGACTCAGCTGCTCTCTGTTTTCTTGCTGAACCACCTTCTCCTCGTTGTTCCAAGATGGCTGCACAGAACCGGGCATCACATCCTCCCAGGCAGAAGGAAGGGAAATGGTAGAAACGGGCTTTCTCCTGAGCCCATTCTCTCCTTATTTCTTTAGTCATTGACTAGACTAGTCCACTCATGGACAAAGGGTGACAGGATTGCCCCAGTTGGCTTTGACCAACGAAATTGCCCCAGTTGGCTTCAACCAATGAAATATTCTCCACTGGCTTCACAGTCATCCTTTGGGACTATTGAGTAAGTCAGAAGCAGGAGTAGCTGTTGGCTGGGTAACCAGTGGATACTTCCATGGTGATATTTTATTTTCTCTGAAATTATGCAGCAGATAGAAAGCAGGTATCCGTGTTGGTTAGACCTCGTTTTGCATATCTTCCCAGAAGGGACCACATCAGGTTATCCTGTCAGAGCCACCTTTCCTCACACCGGCCTCCGATGTCATTGTGTGTCACTGATTCCTTTACTCACACTCCCCCATTGCTCACCACATAAATATGTGCTGATTTGCAGAGAATAGTTCACGGGCTCACAGGCTGCGGTCTGCCGACTGGCTGCTGGGCTGGCCGCCATCCTAGCTCTGCGCCCTGCACACGGTGGACCCTCAAGGCATATTTGCTCAGTGACTGAATGAAACAGAAATGACCTCATTTATTTGGCTTGGGTCAGGCGTGGCCGTAAGAAGGCAGAATGAAGGGGGAATCGCTAAGTTGGGAGGAAAATAGCTCATTGCTAGCCGCCAGGTCTGCCTGTGGTGGCCTGGGTTCAGCAGCCCTGAGGGAGAAGGGCAGGGGTGTTATGTCATCACTTGGGAGGGACACAAGCTCCACGGACTAGCAGAACACAGGTCTAGGTGGTGGAGTTCCTGGCGGAGTGGCGGGTGGGAGTGGGGAATCATTGACTTGGCTCTTTAAAAAATACACTAAAAGGTCCTATTTGAAATACAATTCTTCCCTTCTTTAGCCTCCTCTCTTTTTCTCGAAAAAGGAATAAACTGTGTACAGTGAAGTAGTTTGACACATAGTTTGACAGATGTTCAGACACACGAGCATGCATTAGTCAGCTCAGGCTGCACCACAGGAGACCTCAGCTAGGGCGCCTCGAACAACAGAAATGCATTTCTTCACAGTCCTGGAGGCAAGAAGCCCCAGTCAAGGCCCCACAGGCGGGTTTCTGCTGAGGGCTCTCCCGCCCGCTTGTGGATGGCTGCCTTCTCACATAACTCGCATGGCGTTTCCTTGGTGTGGGCACTCAAAGATGGTTTAAGGTCTCTGTTGTCTCTTTCCAGAAGGACAGATCTCATCACATGAGGGTCCCACCCCTGTGATCTTAACCTTAACCAGGCTCTAGAGACCCCACCCCCAAATAACGTCACACATATGAATGGGGGTGGGGGCACACCTTGAGTCATTACAAAGCAAATTTGCTCACCGGGGTCAAAATGGGGAATATTCCCAGTGCCAGGTAGGTTTCCCTACCCCCCTCTACCAACTGGTCAGTCTGTCTGGCTTCACCGTCACATGAACATACCAGACAGACGTGCGCTCTTGTGTCCAGCAGGCACCTCGCTGTACTGAGAGGTGTGTCTGTGCCTGGCACCCTTGCTCCCTGGCATCCCATGTGGTCCACAGCCTCTTTCTTCAAGAGTTTGAGCCCTGCAGTGCAGGGTGCTGTCCTGAGCAGGGACATGCAGGCAGTAGCTGAGAGGGTGGCTCTGGCTGTCTGGGCTCAGCCCTTGGGTGGGGTGAGGTGAGGTCTGGTACCTTGATGGCCTGTGTTGGCTGAGTGAGGAGACTGTCTGTCCACAGGATGTTGGTGCAGAGGCCTGGCACCCAGCTGGCACCCGTGAGGGCTCACCTGAGTGGGGCAGTGCCATGTTGCTATCAGAGCATCAGCAGTGCGCCTTGTCTTGGAGAAAACATGGAACCCTAGATGTGATGGTGCTTTGGCAGGTAGGGGAGAGAGGGGCAGATTCATCTGGCAACCAGAATAGTCTGAAGAAATCCATTGAACCCCATCTGGTGACAGGACACGCCTCCCAGTTCTCTGGGCTCCCTGACCATGTTCCACTGTGAGGGTCATCCTGGAGATGATGACCAGCATAAAAAAGGAGAAGGACACAGCATAGCTCCCAACTGGGGTTCTTCTGGAATTCTCAGGCTGTGCACAGGGCCCAGGACAGCTCCTGTCCCCCTCTTCACAGCACACCTTCCTTCTTCCCTCATTGTGTTTGGGGACTTGAGTGGACCCTGAAGGGGACCGAGGAGCAATCCCTGGGCCCAGGTGTTGGCCCCCCTTGACAGTGTTTCTGGTCTGTTTTCAGGGGGAACTGGATTGGAGAAGCCCCCTACAAAACCGGCCGGCCCTGCTCTGAGTGCCCGCCCAGCTATGGAGGCAGCTGCAAGAACAACTTGTGCTACCGAGGTAGGAAGAGGCTTCAGGACCATGTGGAATGGGGTTTCCTCCAGTCTAAGGGTCCTAAACAGCCTTCTGTAAAGTGGGAAAGTTGAGCAGTCCTGTCCAAAGTGCCCTCCCCTCTTCCCCCACAACCTCCCATTCTCTCCTTCCCTCTGCCTTGCACTGGGAAGTGGGGGGAGCCCACTCCGTGGGGACACACCAGCCCAGGCTGTTGCTGTGGATACCCCCATGGCCAGACTCCGAGCTGGATGCTGGATGCAGACGTACCTGGTTGTGCCTGCGGTTTGGTGTAAGATAGCGCACAAGAAATTGACCACAGATGTTTGGATCTTGCTCATCCTCTGCCTATTTGTCATAAATGCTCAGAAATCTCGGAGACACTCACGTTTCCCTTCCTCTCACAACTTCTAAAGGCATCTGTTCCTGCTCGCTCCACCTTCTGTTGCCCCATTCAGCATGTTTCCCCTCTCATGATACTGTAAATAGTGTGTGTTCTTCATGCCTGACACTCCACCCCAGCAGGGGCAGAGCTGGGCCAATGGGGCTAGCTCTGCTTTTGTAGCTAAGATGTGTTTTTCACATGACTCCACCCTGGCCCTTGTGACAGCCCCGAGGGGCCTTTCATGGGGCTTGGGACACAGGAGAGAGCAGCCCCTGGTGCCTAACCTCCCCAGCCAGAGGGGATATGGGTTCAGCCCAACAGCTCTGTCAGGGGAAGAAGCAGGTGGTCTAGAGGGGTCTGTTGCTCTGGCCTGTTATTCACCAGGGCTTCTGCCCTTTTGGGGAAAAGAGGATACAGGAGAATCTGGGAACTGACATCTGGCAAACTGCTTTGTGCTGGGCCTTGGGCTGTGATTCACATGTGGGTGACTGAGCTTCCAGTCTTGCCTCTGCGTGACTTCAGGCTGCTTGTCCTTGAACATGCTACCCATCAGTGAAATGGGTATGATAGCACATCTTTCACAATGCAGCTCAGGCCCAAAGGAGAGCAGGCTTGCATTTGGTGTGAATGTATCGTGTGCCAGACCAACAGTGACATTATTGGGACCATAGTCAGTCAAGGGCCTGCTCTCATCAACCTGAGGTCCAGCAGTGTCATTGCCACATGGAGTGACACATCTTCCTTGGGGAAGTAGCTGACACCACAGGGTGTACAACAGGAGTATGCACTGTCATCTGGCTGGTCAAGGAAAGCCTCCCCAGCAGGTGGCCCTGGAGGAGAACATGGAATCCAGTGAAGGGAAAGATGTCTCTGGCAGGTGGAACAACATGTGCAAAGGCCAGGTGGCATGTGGCAGCCAGGTTCTAAGGGTGGGAGACAGAAACCCGTCAGGTGTGCAGATGCTGGCTGTCTGCCACACAGCAGGGATGCCTAAGCCTGTGTGACATGGGATCCTCCTGCTCAGCTCTTACTCTCAGGCAACTCCTCTTCATTGTCTTCGAGCCTGGGCTCCACACACCAGTCTGTAGTGAAATCTCCAGGTTACCTGGCTCTGGCTGCTGGATTCATGGGACAAACATGTGTGCTAGCACCTGGCACACCTGCTATAAGACATCATCCTGGCCACATCCCAGCAGCGGGACCCTGGGCATGTTCCATCGTCTCTCAGAGCCTCAGTTTTCCATCTGAAATGGGACCTCTGTGTCCCCCGGGGTGGCAGGAGGACAGAAGGGAATGCAGGTTGAGGTTACGCTCCAGTGTGTCAGGGCCCTTCCCTGAGCACCTGTCCAGGAAGTTCCTGTGGCTGCTGTGGGTCCCCATCAGATCCTGAGTGTTGGTATGGGGACTAAAGGGCAGATGCTCCTTAGGGCCCCTTGCCTCTTCCCGGGTGCAAACCTACCCCACCTGATGCTGCTTTCAAAGTGCATTGGCATCTGGGGTAGGACGGAGGACCTTTCCTGTAGGGGCCAGAGCTTTCCTGGTTAAGAACAGGCCATGTGCCATCTTTGCCATTACTGCCACGCGTGCCTCAGTTTCCCCATCTGTGATGGTGATAGGCATAGTCCCTCCATAGAAGATTTGCTAGTCACCTGCAATAAGAAGGGTGTGTTGCTAACGTAGTAACTGGCAGGTTTTTTTTTTTTTAAATATAGCTCCTTAGCTCCTTGGAGAAATGGGGGCAGCAGGAAGGAATGCTGTCCTCATCATCTTGGATGGGGGGTCCTTCCTTACCTAGTGGGGACTGTTAGCCCTCTGCCAATCTGAGGACCTCATTGGAATCAGGAACCTAGCAGATGCCTTCTCCTTGGATAAATAGCTGTGGAGGCTCACCATCTCCAGGAAGCCTTCCCTGATTTCACAGACAGGCAGTGTACTTGCCTTCATGGCCTCACTGCATGCAGCCTCCCCTGTGTCCTGATCATCTGTTTTCACACCTGTCTATTCACTGTGAGCCTCTGGGGACACATGGCTGGTGTGTTCTGTGTATCATCTGAATCAGCAAACCCCTAGAATCCACAGAGGGTCATTTCCAAATAAATCAGCACTTTCAGACACCTTAGATGTTAGTGCCCCCACCCAGCAAGACGTCCTTTACTTGTGTCTTTATTTTTGGTGGAAAATACCCAATTTCACCTGGCAGGCATCCCGATTTTCTTAGCTAACCATGCAGAAAGTCTCCTGCAAAGCAGCTTATCTGCATAAGCTACTTAATAAGCATTGATTGAGGGTGCCTGGCAAGGCCTTGACCTATAATAGCTATGGAACATGGAAAAGGCTGGATTGAAGAAGTCTCCGTCCCTGCAGCCTTGCCATGTGTGGCCATAAAGGGCGTGGGCTTCGGGGAATGGCGGTTTGACTCTTGGCTGTGTCAGCTTAGACAGGTGGCTTAGACTCTCTGAGCCTCAGCTTCCTGGCCTGTGAATTGGACCGCCGCACCTCTTGGGCCAACGAGAGGATAGTGTGCGAGCAGGCCCAGCCGTGGTCATCATTTGGTCCTCAGTCGGCAAACATTAGCTGTGAGCTCAGTGCACACTTGCAGAGCCAAGTGGGAATCTGCAGGATGATGGAGCCGGGCTGCTGAGACCCCTAGTCCAGGGCTGGACAGCATGCAGAGCCCCCTGGCAGTGACCTCAGAAATGGAATTTCCCCAGGCATGCCTGCCAACTCAAGGTTTTCATTAGGATGTGCCCCAATCTGGCTGACCCAGAGCAAGCATCGCTTTGGTGTGTGTGTCTGAGGGAGAGGCCTGCTGCCCATTTTCTTAAATAGTGAGCCTTCCAGTGCTTCAGACTGTCTCACCAGACTATGTTCAGCAAAATAAAGCCACGATTATGAGGCATAAAAACCCTAAAGGCCAGTGGAAGAAACCCTGCTTATTCCAGAGACGGCTCGGCTTTCAGCGAAGGATGACCCTGAAAGGCGGCATTGAGGAGGGGCCGACTGAGGCTGGCCGGCACTGCCCGCAGCCTCGCAAACCGGCGACTTCCTCAAGATTTCCCTTCTAGCTCTGTCCTTACAAGTGGTGCTTTCAGCAGTTCCCTCTTGAATGTTCTTAAACTTCCCTGGGCAGCTTTTTTTTTATTTCTGGAGAATTCAAGGATAGACTGGAAGGGGAGGGGCTTTGCCTGTCCTTCATTCAGCACGTTTTGTTGTGCTGGAGGAGCAGGCTGCCCTGTGGGGCATGGGCAGGCTGGCTTCTGCCCCCAGGGCATGGACAGCTGGTGGCAGAAGCAGGTGGCAGTGGAATGACAGCTGCCAGCTGCTGTACAACATGACCACAGCTCTGATGAGAATGGATGCAGGCCACCATTTGCCTCCCAGGCCAAGTCCATCCTGGTCCTCTTGGGACAGGCTTCCCTGGTAGCTGAGGGGTTCTAGCGAGTCAGCCCGGGAAATAGCAGCCTTGAATCCTGGACTCGGAGCCACCAGAGAATCCCTCCTTTGTCTGCCTTTGGGTGTTAGTTTGGTGTAGACACCAAGCACCTGGTCTGCCCTTTAGAGAGGAGAGGTTACTTCCCTCCAGGACATGTGGCAGTAGGGTAGGGGACTGATAGAACTTGATGGGGCTGGAATTATAATCCAGTGACACAGAGGCTAGGGAGGGGCTTCATCCCTCCTCCTTGAAATCCTTCCCAAACACAGCTATGATTTTTCTCTCTGGAGAACCCCAGAAAGCAGGGATTCTTGGCACCAGTGCACACATCCACAAGGTGGCAGGGACACCCCCCAACCCCAGCCAAGATGCCCACCTATCCACCTTTGATAAGGTCACTCAAGCAAATAAAAGTAGCAACGCTTTGCTTTGCTTTGGCTGGAATCTAAGTCTGGTACCCTGGTGTCCTGCTGACTGATTTTTTTTTTTTTAAGATTTATTTATTTATTTATGCAAGCACTGGGTACAGTCAGAAGTGCGGGAGGGTGAGAGAATTCACCAGAGCCAGAGCGGGGAGCAGAGCAGGCAGAGGGACCGAAGTACACTGCTGAGGGGAGCAGCGGGCGCGGCAGGAGTGTCTGTCGCGCCATGTGGGACCCTTCCCGGCAGCCAGGGATGGAACCGGTGCTGCAGAGGCTGCAGGCAGCTTCGCAGCCCAGTGTTCAACCACTGTGCCACCAGGGGAGGCCCCCTGCTGACTGATTCTGATGAGTGGTTAATAGTTCTCTCACGATGAAACTGGAAGATAAATAAGCTGATGCTTAAGAAATACAATTTGTTCAGTTAATGAAAATGTTTTCAGATGTGGGGCTCACAGTCAGGGTTAGACAGTCACATTTGGATGGGGGAGGATGAATTATATTTTAAAAGTAGAACTTGGGTCTTGGTGCTGGTTCCACACGATGGGGCAGCGAAACCCCAGAGAAGTGAGGAGAAAGGGACTGGTGAGGGATATGGTGCAGGAGGGAGCAAAAGTGCTGATGCTGAGGTGCAGGGGCCCAGGAGCTTCTACACGGGTCTTCAGGCACCAGGGTGGGCAGGTAAATGAGAGAGACCCTGCCCCAGTAAAAGTCTAGGGTGGGCCTCGGGGTGGGCCTCGGGGTGGGCCTCAGGGGACTGCTGCAGTTTCAGGCCAGAAGATGAGGCAGCTTCTAGGAGCTGCTTCCGTGGGCGAATGGTGGTGTGTCTGCGGGAGGAGGCGGACAAGAGATCATTATGACAATCCAGGTGTGAGCGCTGGACCCTCTGACCTCTGGTCAGCCCAGCTGCTCTTGGGTCCAAAGCCACCAGGGCGCATGGCTGGCCTGCCCCTCGCCGCTCGGCCAGTAGAATTCCACCTGGCTGGCCCCATTCTTTCTCTTTGCTGCTGAAACGGTTCTTTGTGGAACAAAACCTCAAACAAGTTTCATTTCCAAATTGCCTCTTTTCTCTGCAAAGTGCATTTTTGTTGAATCCCAGTGTGTTCTTTCCCCCTTCCTCTCCACTATTTAGAGACTTATGACCCAAAACCTGAAGCAGATGAGATGAACGAGGTGGAGGTGGCACCTGGCCCCGAGGAGAAACTCGTCTGGGTGCAGCCGAGGGTGAGCAGACCCTCGCAGCCCAAGAAAACCCCGGCCGTGAACTACATGAGTGAGTGGGCTCCGTCCCCTGCCCGTGGCTGCCCTGCCCACCCCCTCAGTGAGGTGGCACTCTCCTCCGGGGTGGGTGGGGGAGGGGAGCCTGTGGGTTGAGAGGTCTCCAAATGGACAAACAGTGGGGAGCAGGGTGGGGCGTGGCCTGTAAAAGCACAAACTTAAGACGTTTTAAAAAGTGATATTTTTAAGATGCTTGCTCATGTCAAGAGCAAGCACCAGAGGAGTGGCACTGGGTGGCGCTTCCCCGGGGCAGGGATTTTAAGGTCAGACCTTCCCTTGTCCTTTCAAAGGGACCTAGACTTGGATTTGGGTTCCTCTTGGAAGCCTCTGCCTCTCTAAGGGAGAACACAGAGCCCAGCGTGTGGCCGGCTCTGCTGGCTCCTCCTTCTCCACCAACTGCTGGTAGGCCCAGCATTGAGATGCTCTGAGCCATGAACGCTCACCTGCAAAGGTGGCAGGGGTGCCTGTACAGGGTTGGTGGGATTGTTGGCGGTGATTAATGATCCCTCCTGCCCCCGCCCCTGTTTGCCCTCAAACAGCCCTGACTAACCAGCCCTTGCAGGGGCCAGCACTGACCATCTTTTTCAGGTTCTTTTGCTGGCTCTTCACCCCACCCCCTGGGCCCACCCATCTTCCCATCCTCTTGGACCTTTAGAGTCTTCTCCTGACTTCCAGGCCTATTTAAACATTTTGTAGCTAATGTGGGTCCAAAAATTTGAAATGGTGCTATTGTCTTTTTTTTTTTTAAGAACCCATTAGAGGGCCTCCCCGGTGGCGCAGCGGTTGAGCGCTGGGTTGCGAAGCTGCCCGCGGCCTCTGCGGCGCCAGTTCGATCCCCGGCTGCTTCCCGGCCACCGGAGGAGGGTCCCACATGGCGCGCAGACCTCTCCTGCCGCCCGCTGCTCCCCTCAGCAGTGTACTTCGGTCCTTCTGCCTGTTCTGCTCCCCGCTCTGGCTCTGGTGGATTCTCTCACCCTCCCGCGCTTCTGACTGTACCCAGTGCTTGTATAAACAAAACAAACAAATAAATAAATAAAAAAAAAGACTGTCACTTTAAAAAAAAAAAAATCATTTAAAAAAAAAAAAAAAAAAAAGAACCCATTAGATATGAAAGTAGCATATCAATTATAATACGATGTGTCTTTTAGTCACACATAATATGATCCCAAGACCCTGATGGGATTTTACCCCATAAAATGAACCAAGAAGGCATACTTGACACTATTGGCCTTGCTGTGGGAAGGACTGGGGTGGGAAAGGTCTGGTCAGGAGAGGCATGTGAGTCCCACCCTACATCATCCTGGGGGCCCTGGGAACCCAGCTTGTGCTGGGCTCCCCTCTGAGGCCACTTTGCTTCCTCCTCCAATGCCTGCAGAAACCATTGCAGTATGCACTGTGCTTGTTCCCGTTATCCATGTGGAAGACTGCATCCCAGACAGGCACAGGGCCTGAGATCACCCTGATGCTGTATGGTGGTGGATCTGGGGTCCCAACCTCACAATGGAAGCCTGCAATCACTGGGCAATGCTCTCATTCTCATCCCCAGATATTCCTTGGAGCTCCAGAAAGTTCCTCAGAGCAGGAGTGGGGCCTTCTAACTCAGACTCTCTTCATACTTCCTGCTGTGATGCCTATTTCTGAATTTCTCTCCTAGCTCAAGCCATCAGGTGTGACACCAAGATGAAGGACAAGTGCAGAGGCTCCACGTGCAACAGGTAGGGGCTGGGCTGCACCCTCTCCCACTGCTGCTGTCTGCCCTTTGTGCACCCCAGGAGGGGATGGGCCCTGTCAGCATCCATCTGTCCACCCCCTGCTTTGTCAACTGGGTAGAAACTCACAGAAAAGTGCTACTGTCTTCTTTCAGCACAAAACTTGTGCCAGGTTGAGCTGAAAGGGAACTCAGTTTGCTTGGCCTTGTGAACTAGAAGGACCACGACACCCCCGGGTCCTTCTGACGACACTGTGTATTTATTTTTTTTTTTTTTTCAATTTATTTTATTTTTTTGATTTATTTATTTACTTATACATACAAGCACTGGGTACAGTCAGAAGCGTGGGAGGGTGAGAGAATTCACCAGAGCCAGAGCGGCGAGCAGAGCAGGCGGAAGGACCGAAGTACACTGCTGAGGGGAGCAGCGGGCGGCAGGAGAGGTCTGCGCGCCATGTGGGACCCTCCTCCAGTGGCCGGGGAGCAGCCGGGGATCGAACTGGCCGGCGCTGCAGAGGCCGGCGCTGCAGAGGCTGCGGGCAGCTTCGCAACCCAGTGCTCAATCGCTGCGCCACGGGGGAGGCCCGACACTGTGTATTTAGAGCTTGGCACACAAAGATGATCCATGGCAGTCAGCTGAGACCAGGCGTCTTTCCTTGGCACTGCTGACCTGTCGCACCAGGCTGTTCTGTGTGGTGGGACGTCCCAGGCACTATGGGCTGTTGAGCGGCATCTCCCGCCTCCTCCTACTCAAAGATGCTGGGGCACCCCCTGTGTGGTGACAAACAACAACGTCCCCAGACATTGCCCAGTGTCCCCTCAGGGACCATCACTCCCATCAAGAACCTCTGACCTAGAGACCGACACCAGCCTGGGTCTCCTCCTGCCGGGGTCCTATTCCAGGGCTGTATCTCACCCCCGTGGAGAGGAGGCCACTGAGGTGCAGCCTGAGGGTGGTGGATGCAGAACCTCACTGTATCACCCTGATGGTTTTCAACCCTGACATGGTGTCTTAGGAGCCAGCTTTCAAAAACCACATCAGCAACATCATTGCAGCGTCTGCCAGTGTAGGGACATGAACGCTCCCGGCAGGCTGAGTTTGGCTCCCTGCCTTGTAACCTGCAGCCTGCTGTGTCCTGATGGCTACCCTCAGTTCTAAAGGAATCTCCAGGCTGCAGAAATGCCAGGTGTGCTGTGGATATGACGAGCCGACCAACTTGGGGTCTTCATTCCACCGCTCTGTGTGAAGGGGGTTCTGGGAGTTCTGCACCCAGCTCACACCAGGGAGGATTAGGGATGGCAACTCACAGCGCCACAGCTCTGAACAGAATCTGGAGCCTGTTTCCCTGTGGACCCTGCCAGAGAGCAGTGAATCCACTGCTGATAGAGTCGCTTAGAACTGTCCCTCTGAGTGTCAAAGAAGGCCCGCCAAAAAGAACCAGTGTGGTTTGACAGCAGCTGCCGGCAGGGAATAGCTGCTGGGAGACTGTTGTCTTAGGAGGGTACCTCTTCTCACCTGGTCAGGGGTTCTGGCATCCGCTCACCCAAAGCTGAATGGAGTTGTCTAAAGCACACGCTGAAGAGAGGTGGTGGCGGGTCTTGTGCTGGACTGTCTTGTGCTGGGGGGTGGGGGCTGGGAATTGCTTTGCCAGGAGACCGCTTTGCTTGGGTTTTGGTGGGATGGTCAGCAACCCTGGATGAGGCTGTTCTGGGGTCTCTTGTATGGTACATGGTTCCTCGAGCAGATGGCGATCAGCCAGCAAGTGCCGCAGGAGCAAAACCATCAACTTGTCAGTGGGCAGAGTGCCTGTGGTCTCAGTGGGTGGGGGCAGATCTTCTCTGTTCCCACAGCCTTGCTGGGGGCCCTGGCACATCCTTATGGTGGGAGGTTCGGGGCAGAAGCAGACAGCATTGGGAAGCGGTGACCTCTCTCCACTGTTGTGCGTCTGGAATTTTCGGAGAGCTCCATGGCTGTACCTTGGCAACCAAGTCTGCTCTTTGGTAGTGTAAACCCACAGGAGAGGGGACTCAAGCCCATGCCTTATTGCTCAGTGGGAAAAAAATCACAGCATTCAGAGAACATTCTGGTCAGACAGCATGGCAAGAGCCTCAGAGTGGAGGCTGATGGGACCCTGGTGAGCCAGAAAGAGGCTGGGCCACCCACATGAAGACCGTCAGGGCCTCCTGCCAGCCTGCTCCTAGGAGTCGACCATTGTCGGGCACATGTGCTTTCTGTATATGGTGCTTTTACAAAAATGGTATTTACTGGGCTTTCCCCCCAACTTTGGAAAATGTTTTGTTCATTGTAGTAAGTAATTCAGGAAAACATCATCAACAACATAAGCCTAAGGAAAAGATGGGTCCCAGAATCTCAACAGTCACAGTAGCCCCTGATGGGGATCCTTGCCACCTTCCGTGAACTGCATCAGGCCACTGCTGATGATGGGCTCCTGGATGTTACTGCTTTCACGAGATTTCCAAAAGTCAATATATATTCCTCAAAAGCGTCATGTCTGCTGGCTGCATGGCACTCTAGCACCCCCCCATGTGCATGCCTGGCCGTCCCACCGACACCTGCTGGCTCAGGGGCAGCTGCTCAGCATCACACGGAGGTCTGCCTTCCGGTGTCGGCCTAGGGCACGCGTCTACTTGATTCATGCATCCATGGACATGGGTTTTTTAGGCTTTCTTGGAAAGATGGAATGAGCCATGCTTTGTCGTGGACCAGCTCACCTGAGTTGGGAAAAGCAGTGTGATTCGACTCTGGGGAATTTGCACTTCTCGGATGAGACGTCTTGAATGTTTGAGAGGCTTTAGGGTGCCTTTGAAAGTGAACTGTCCATCTACTCTCATCTCTGCCTTCAACACGAATCTTAAACTCATGAGAACGGTTTTGAAGAAGGTGAGGTGAAGCCTGGAACCGTGTCCACGCCACTAGAAATTTTGGCCTGTCCTCTGTGGCTTGCTCGGGAACGGTGGTCTTGGCCTCCCTGGAACGTTTCTAAATGTAATAACAGGGCTCTGGGAGAAGCAGCAGCCACCAGTTCCTCGTGAGACTTAATCAGCACATTGACCACTGAAAATCATCTTTGGTTCTCGCCCACCAGGTACCAGTGTCCAGCAGGCTGCCTGAAGAGCAAGGCGAAGATTTTTGGAACACTCTTCTATGAAAGTGTAAGTGTATCTGGAAAGGGCATGTGTGGGATTCTGTGTGTGGTTTTAGAGAAGGCTGGGGGTTTTCACCTGAAAAGATTTCCTTCCCACCCTTTACTCACCCCTGTGTGTGTGGAACTGGTCCATGTGTATTTGTGGGCTCGAAAACTTGCGAAGCCACTTTTGGGAACCAGGACAAGCCCAGATGAAGATCAACTCTGTTGCAGAACAAATGTTGCTATTAGCATGCTCCACTGGATGGGGAGAAAGGGCTGTTTGTCATAGTTCTTAGTCGTAAAGCAACTTGGGGGAGCTTTTTCTGATAAGCAGCCCCAGGAACAAAGGCTTGTTATAGAAGAAGTAAGAGTCAGAAGCGGGGTGAGCTTTGGCCCGGCTTTTTGGCATTTTCTGGGTTGAGGACAAACATCTTGGGTATTTCTGGGCAAGATTGTGGACAAAGATGAATTCAGATCGACTTATGGCCTCCCCCTCCCTCCCCCCAGGCGTCCAGCATCTGCCGCGCTGCCATTCACTATGGGATCCTGGATGACAAAGGGGGCCTGGTGGACATCACCCGCAACGGGAAGGTCCCCTTTTTTGTTAAGTCGGAGAGAAATGGCGTGCATTCTTTGAGGTAACTAGTCCATGATCAGGGCTCCTTAAAACCATTTTTTTTCCAGGTTAGGAAAGTCTAATCAAAACTTAGAAAAGTATTGAGCAAAATAAAGACGCAGGAAGAACAAAAGATGGCTTTAATCCCATAACACTGAATTCACCCCTTAGCAGTTCAGCATGTTTCATTCCAGGTGATCCCCCAGTAATTTGGTTGAGTTTTGAATCCTGCCTTTTGTGCCTCCCTCGCCACCAAGACCTCTTTAGAATCATCGCCATAATGGGTGATGGTGTCTGAGTTTGTTGGCTGATTCTTGATCAGCTCGTTTTCTTCCTAGAAATGAGGCTCTTCATTTAAAAAATATACCTACTTTTGGGGAAAGGTGATGTTTTCCCTGTAAGGGTGTGTGTGTGTGGATAGATGATGTGGTGGACCACCCTTGTGTTTCTCACTTGGGGGAGCAATGGGAAAGGTCTTATCTTAATCTGTCCTTGGAATTGGAGGCATCAGCTGATCCGGAGTGTGGACCTCCATGGGGGCTTCGGGGTGACACAGCTGGTGCTGCCTCTCCCTCTGTGACTTTCACCCCTTTGGGTGGCAGCGCCCTCACTTGCAAATGAGTACCAGGGAGGACCTAAGGCTGACACCCAGCTAGTTCATCACGGGGACAGGGAACCCACTGCTAAGAAAAGGGAAACCCTCCCCAGCAATTGGGAAAGTACTGTGCCCCCAGCTCCTGAGTTATCCCTCCCTGAGGCTAGAACCCCTCCCTCCACATGAGGACCTATGCCTGGCACCACAGGGGCATTGGGGACCTGGCCCCAGCCCACAGTGGCCCTGGGCCTCAGCCCATCCAGAGCTGCAAGCATTGGAGCATCCCCTCAGGATATCCACCTACAGGGGAGGTCAGGGGCTTCCCTGCTGGGAAAGCCTGGAGCACATCCTGCTATTATGACAGGGTCGTGTGCCCTGCCGGAGCCTGCGGCCACTGGGGACATTTCATAAAGGACATGCGTCACTCTCGGAAAGACCTCGGTCTTCAGGGGGTGTTGCAATATCCCCTCTTCTGTCTCAGCTAGGGACTGGGTGTGGAAGGGGATATGTGAACATGGAGGAAGTCTTACCTCCACGCCTGAGTGACAGAGCCACTCAGGCACCCACAGACTTGGGTTGGGCAGGACTTTGGGTCCTGGGTCCTGGGCCGCTCTTCCTGGTGGTGCTCTCGTCCCTCCCGAGGGCCAGTTTTGCCCCTAGAGCTGGGTTCTTCGCATTCCGGAAGAGAACTCCAGATCCCAGAGAGTCTGCCAACAGCAAAGCAAAGCAAATTAAAGCTTTGCTCTCACTAAACCAATGTGGTATTTCTCTCCACTGGGGATGCTGGCACGTACCGGCGACTTGTCTCCAGTGGAAATCCTGCACACAGAGCAAGGCACCCTCGTCATCACACTGAGAGGGGAGTAGTTAGAAGACTCCCTGCTGGATTCTGCTTTTTAATGCATTGAGAGAGTAGCACAGCTTTTCTTCCAATGATAATCTAATACTTTAATGATAATATTGATAATAGCCAATTTCCTTTGAATCTTTTCCATTTATCTGGTGCTTTTTAAAGAATCATTATACTGAGAAGGGGTCCATAGGTTTCATCAAGCTACCAGAGTGGTCCTGGGCACAAAGGAAGTTAATGAGACTTGCTCTAGAATATTCTAAGGAACTTCCGGCTGGTGGGAAGGGAGCAGACAGATGTAAACTTGAGACTGTAAATAAAATAAATGCAGAAGCAATTTTTTTTTTTTATGACTTCTAAAGTCCCTTCCTCGGAGAGATGCCTTTATTGCAAGTAATGTAAAGTTGCTACTAGCATAGTACAAGGGCCACAAGTTACCTTTGTTTAGACCCCACTTTTATTTGAACCCTACTTAGTAATTGGGTGGTTAGATGACTTAAATTACCTATACCTTACTTTCCTCAAAAAATACTTACCTCCTCAGGTTACTGTGACTTTTAAATGAGATACTGCATATCTTAGCTACTTAGCACAGCACCTGACACATAGAAAGAGAAAACAATCAACTGGAGCTGAAATGCAGAAGCAATTTTAAAATCAATTCTCTTTGCATTGACCTAAGATTTTCTTTCACAGCAAATACAAGGCTTCCAGCTCATTCATGGTGTCCAAAGTAAAAGGTAAGCTGGCCACCCTCTTTTTTGTTTTTTAATGTGGCCATAATAATGCCCAGGCTATCTTGAATTTCCCTGGAAATGTTGCTCCCCATTGTTACTGATTTAATGGTTATCGTGATGGCTAACATCGCCATTCCTGGCACTCTAAAGACTTCCCAAGGAACTAGTTCTTCTTTGACTAGTTTCTAAGCACAATGGAACTTAGCATTGGCCCTAGATATTGTGGAACAAGAAACACAGGACTGGGGGTCACGGCTGAATGTCTCAGAGATACTAATTGCGGGCCTCAAGTGGCTGAATGTTTGCATGTTCATTCACTTTCCATCAATGGATGTGGCTACCCGAGCATTGTGTTGAGGAGGGTGCCTTCTTGGCTGGATCTGGGTTCAGCAGAATCCAGGGCTTGATAGACTAGTCATGTCTGTCTTGGACCAGACAGGGTGGGGGTGGGAGTACCTGATATACAATTGCCATCTCCATCCAGGTTTGATGTTGCTTACACCTGTTCATTGACAGTGTGGGAGGCTTCCGTGGCATAGCAGGCTGTGGCCAGCGGTGGAGGTTAGGGCACTAGGCTAAATAGTCCTAGGCAGTGATGAGGGGTTTCCTGCCCAGAAGCCTCCCCTGAAACTTTGCCTCCTTTCTTTTGAGAAAGTGACTCTTGTCATTTGTCCCAGATGCAAGAATATCTGTTAGATATCTGTAGGAAAATGTGTCACAGATTTTTTTTCCATATTACAAAAATAATGTCTGTTTATTCCAGAATATTTAAAAATATAGCAAGGCATTAAAAAAAAAATTAAATTTCATGACTCAGAGAACATTTTGGTGGATTCCTTTACAGCACATTTTCCTTATATGTTAGGAATGTTGGTAATATATTAGAGATAGGTGCCTTGATATACTTTCAAAAATGGAAATGCTATTACATAGATTAGATAACCTAATTTTTCCCCAGATAATAAGATAGCAAGAATCCACTTGTGTGCCTTAAAATGGGCTTTAAACCTAATTTTAATAGTCTCCCTGTCCCCCAATGTATAGCAGCCCTTTGGAGTACTAAACCCATCCCCTTTGTTGGAAAACTGTAGAATCCAGGGCCCTTGCAATGATGGGCTGGACCAAGGGGATTGAAAACTACTTCCCTTGGGCCAAATCCTGCCTGCCTTCTGTTTTTTGTAAATAAAGTTTTATTGGCAAACAGCCATGCCCATTCACTTACTGTCTGTGGCTGCTGCCTGCTACAACTGCAGGGCTGAGTAATATAGACCACCAGGCTCACAAAACTGTAAAAAAAAAAAAAAAAAAAAGTCCCTCTGTCCCTTTAAGAAAAAGCTTGCCAAGTCCTGGATTAGATGTCAGAAACCACAGGTGGTCAGCGTTGGAACTGTTTTCTTAAATCTTTGGTTTAAACACAGCACATGACCTTGAAGGAGAGTTGCCTGCCCCTGGGCAGGGATAGATTTGGTTCTCTAGACTGTACGTGGGAGAGCAGGGCCCTCACCCAACCCCCTGTCTCAGGGGGGTCTTAGCTTTTCTGGACCTGTTTTCTCATCCATAAAATTAGGATAATTATGCCCTAAATGAGGTAAAGGGCTTCTGAATCAAAAAGTACTATGCAGATGAACATTAGGGGACCCCAGAGAAACATGGAGGAAATTCACCTCTGACCTGTACAAACATCAGTCACTGCTTCTGTCTTGTCCTTCAAGCGACCCCAGGTGAGGTTCATTGGCCCTACTGGGTACTTACCAGCTCTGTTTGAGGGTCCGGGGAGCCACCAGGACCTGGTTGTCCAGCAGCCCATGTCACAGGCCAGTGTCCTGACCCTTTTCTCATGTGTCCTGTCCACAGAGCAGGACCTGGACTGCTACACCACGGTCGCTCAGCTCTGCCCGTTTGAGAAGTCGGGGACCCACTGCCCGAGGTAAGGCTCCCTGGCATCTGGTCTTGCAAACACTGGGGCTGAGAGAAGAAGGTGCTGTGCCCTGTGGGGAGGGGGCCTCTTGTTCTAGAAGGGCCTCTAGTATGTGCCCACCCACTATGTCCAGGACCCATTATACCTCCCCAACAGGGCCTCAACCCCAACAGCACATTGGAATCCCTTTGTGGCATTAAAAAGCAGAGTCCCAGGGCCCCTGCCCAGCCCACTGAGATCTGAATCCCCACAGTGGCCAGCTGGGCATGGTATCAGTAGAAGATTCTGGGTGTACCCTGTGTGCAGCAAGTCTCTGAGCCCTGTTTCCCCTCTGCTGAGGGAGCTCAGAGAAAGTGACTGACACACTTGGTGTTGCCTTGATTCCCTGGACAGAGAAGCGACACTGGTGCATCTGACTTCCTGTACCTCGTGGCCAATCAAGCCTCGAGCTGTGCCATCTTGTTCTCTTCGGTCAGTCGATAACTGTGGGATCCCGGTGGTTCCTGTCCCCTTAAAATCAGTTCACTGATTCTTGTACTTGATCTGGTATATTCTCCAAACCACTTAAGAAGTAGCACATGAAAACCCGGCTTTATTGAGATGCAGTTTGCACACAAAAGCCACTTACTGAGTTGGTAATTCCAAATGTTTCTACAAAGCAGATAGTCATGCCACCCATCCAGAGGGAAGAAATTTTCAACAACCAGAAATTTCCATGAGGTCAATTTCTTTCCTGTAACCTCCCCCCATATCCCTACCAACCACTGATCTCCTTCCTATCTCTATAATGTTGCCTTTTCCAGAATTTCTTAGAAATGGAGCCACAGCAGGTAGACTATTATCTGTCTTCTTTCACTCTGTGTGATGCTGTTGAGACTTTCCCGCCTTGCTGAGCGGGTCCATGGCTTCTTATTCCATGGTGCCATAATGTAGCTGTATCTCAGTGCGTCATCTGAGTAGGTCTTACAGGCATCCATCCAAAAGGTAATTGGATAACTTTAGGGGTGTCCTGTAAGATTTGTCTCTAAGATACTTAGTATAAGTTACCATCCTGAGATGCCTTGTACTAGGCCTTGGTTCTGGAAGGTAAATACTACTCTTAAAAGCAGTAGGTGGAGACCCCTGAGATGTGAGCAGGCAGAGCCCCAGGAAGGTGCTGTGAATGATGGGGGGGCTGGATGGGTCCCTGGCCTCTCCCCTTCACTACCCCCTGCCCCTTGGGCTACCTCACCACCAGACTGGGCCCCACTGTGAATATTCAGGTGGTGATAACTAGCTTCAATAGATTTTTCCAAGTAATAAAGAGAAGCAGGAGGAAATAATTCCAGAAAAAGTTGACAGTATACAAGTATCCAAAATGTGAGTTTTGGACTCATTCTTCTAAAAGTAGGAGACTTCATTCCCAAATTCCTTTTTCTTTTTTAAGTAATGTGTGCAAGTGCATGTGCACCCACATACACTCTCTCTCTCTCTCTCTCTCTCTCTCTCTCTCTCTCTCTCTCTCCATCCACCCCTGCCATCTACCTCCACAGGACCAATTTCACTAGCTTTCTTTGCTCCCCAAACCTGCCTGTCTTGGGGCCAGATGGCGTCTAGCTGCCATTTTGGTTTCTTGGTTTCTGGGCTTCAGCCTATGGTATACTGTTCCAGATCAAGACAAAACACCCTTTCTTAAGTAAAGCTCGTACTTTTTCCTGGTTTGGATCCCTCAAACCACCTCCGGTCCACCCTTTTCCAATTCGAGACACTCTCCTCATCCCCTGTGCCCTGGGCAGGGATGTGGTGACTGACACAGTCATGAGCTAACCCTTTCCGCCTCAGGTTATCAGTGCCCCCTCCCTGGAATATTCTGACTCACTGAGGTGAGGCCCCTCCACCCTTTCCTCTCCCACACAGGGAATTGGCTTTTAAATCTATTGATTATAATCTCCATAATGTACCCACAGTCTGAACTGGCCAACACCCAAGAAAGGCAAGTATAGCTTCTTACAATCCCACACTCACCTCTCGTAGATATTTATTCCCTTTCACCTCATTATTTGTGCCTGTCTTCCAGTAAGTGGCTTCCCTGTGCTGTTGCATTGTTTAAGAAGAAAAATGTCTTTACCCCAGTGAGGGTGGGAAAGGTATCTTTATTTCTTCAAGAGAAACTATGATAATTTCCTTGTATCAAAGTACTTAAATCTTGAAGTTCAAATAAAGCAGGTCAGCCACCTCTCCAGTTCTGCTGATCCGTAACCATCATGTAAATGCTGTTTGTTTTTCAGAGTTCATTGTCCGGCGCTCTGCAAAGATGAGCCATCCTACTGGGCTCCTCTGTTTGGAACCAACATCTATGCAGACGTGAGTATCCTGGTATTTTTATTGATCACTTCTCCCAGCCTGTTAATTCCACGGAAAGCACATCCCAAGGTCTGGATACCTGGTATCTCCACCCTGGGCCTTCCTAAATTTAGACCACTTGTTTCTGCAACCTTTGCCCTTGTTTCCCATTTATAAAGCCTTTACTACTTTCCCCTGCCAATGAGGAATATAGATGTAGGTGTACCTCATATGACACAGCTGTGGTCATTTCATAAGTTGAAGCCTGTCTCCTCGCTGACATTTTTAATGAAAAGGTTTTCATGCACCACATACTTCAGTTCCCCAGATAATCTCTCTCACTTTCCTGACGCATTTATAGATGCTGGTCCACTCCGCTCACTGCATTTCCTTTTGGTCATGTACACACTTAACTAAAAGTCCCAAAATATAAATTACTCCTTGCCAAGAACCACTCATTGTATCTGTTCTTTCATTTCTTCCTTCCTTAGTAAGGAAGCATGAGCCTGGATTTTTTAAAGTGAATCCTCCAGGACATAGTTTGATACCTCCAGGGTTTTGGTAAATGGTGACCTAGAAGATGTACATGTGGTCACAGCTCTGCCTGAAAGACTCTAATCTTCTTGCCAAGTCATTTACCTCTCTGTAGAATGAGCCAGCTGGGATTTTTATTCAGGGAGGCTTCTGGGTTTCAAATCCCATGAATAGATATCAGAATCACCCATCCCCAGCTAACATTTTTATTCCACCCTTCTTCATCTTGATTTTTTTTAAGATTTATTTATTTATGCATACAAGAACTGGGGTGTGGGCCAGATGTGTGGGGATGGGGTGAGAGGATTCACCAGAGACAGAGTGGGGGGCAGAACAGGCAGATTGACTGAAATACACTATTCAGGGGAGCAGTGGGTGAGATAGGAGATGGCTGTTGCACCATGTGGGTTGCTCCCTGACTGGGGTTCAAACTTGTGCTGCAGTGGTTGCTGATAGCTTCACAGTGCTGAGACTTAATCCCTTGTGCCACCATGGAGGCCCCCTTTATCTTCATTTTTGTTGTTCTCCTCACCTCCCACTACCATCTTTGCCTCCATCTGCTTTCATTTGTTCCAGATTCTTGAAAATGTGAGGTCACTGAATTCTCTAAGGTCAACGTAACTTAAATGGCTAACCTTTCCGTTTTTCCTTTTTAAGTGAGTCTTTTTTCTTGAAAGTTGCTCAATCAAAATTGAGATATGAAAGTTCAGTAAAGGAGTAAAATAATGTATGTCAGTTGTTACTCTAGATGTTTGAAAAAGTCTGCTATTAAAAGATAGTATCTTTGGGGCCTCCCCCGTGGCGCAGCGGTTGAGCGCTGGGTTGCAAAGCTGCCTGCAGCCTCTGTAGTGCCAGTTTGATCCCCGGCCGCTGCGCAAGGGTCCTACATGGTGCGCAGACCTCTCCTGCTGCCCGCTGCTCCCCTCAGCAGTGTACTTCGGTCCTTCTGCCTGTTCTGCTCCCCTCTCTGGCTCTGGTGAATTCTCTCACCCTCCCATGCTTCTGACTGTACCCAGTGCTTGTATAAATAAATAGATAAATCTTAAAAAAAAAAACATAGTATCTTTGATTTTAGTAGGCTATAAAAATAAAGGATGGGCAGAGAAAGAACCAAAATAAAGTAATTCCAGCCAAATACAAAGAAATTAACAAATAAAGTAGGAGTGGCACGATTACTGCCTGATAAAGTAGAGCTAAAGGCAGACCTATTGAAAAGGACAACACAATTTGTCATGCAATAACACAAAAGGTACAATTTATGAAGAAGATTTAAAAATCAAATCTGTATGCACCAAACAACACAGCAACTAAAACCATAAAGAGAAACAAAATTAGAAATGCAAGGAGAAAATAAAAAAAAAAAAAAGGGCTTCCCCAGTGGCACAGCAGGTTGAGCTCAGTGTTGTGAAGCTGTCTGCAGCCAGGGAGAATCCCACATGGCGAGGCAGACCTCTCCTGTTTCGCCCATTGCTCCCCTCAGCAGTGCTTTCGGTCTGTCTGTCTGTTCTGCTCCCCTCTCTGTCTCTGGTGAATCCTCTCACCTCCTGCAACTCTGGCCTATACCCCAGCTCTTATATAAATAATATATATATATTACATATATAAAATATATATAAAGAAATAGGAGAAAGTTGGTCAAAACTTACAAATGACATTAAACTACCTCTTAATCAACACTTTCTATGTTTTAGATTTTTAAAAAACTCCACTATCCCCATTTTACAGAGAAGGAAAATGAGACTCAGAATAACCTGCCCCAAATCACACAGCTAGCACAGGGCCAAGATGAGATGCAAATGAGGGTGTGTCTTGGTTCTGGCTGGCTCTTTCCCTGCTTTAGTCAACCCTGCTTGAATGAGTCTGCACTCATAATTTCACTGGTGCCTGCGGGTGTGTAGATGAAACCCCTGGCACAGTCTAACTCACTTGTGCACTAGGTTAGGGACTCTGGGACCGTAGTGCTGGGACCTAACTTGGCACAATAATGGTTCAATCAGTGTTTGTTGAAGGAATAAATAAATGACGACACTATGGAAGTCAATGCTTAGACATTGTTCAGAGAATAAAAGACAGAGAGGAGAAAGAAAGGAAGAAAAAAAAAAGAGAAAGGCAGGAGAAAGGGAAGGAAGGAGGAAAGGAAAGAAGAACGCAAGCTAGGATTCAAAGCTTCATTTCTGGCTGCGTTTCCAGGTCACTCTGTATTCTGGAAAATGATGATGGCTTATGGAAATGTCTGTTTAGCTAAGAGATTTATTTGGGGGTGTTGTCTCCAGGCCTTCGAAGGGCCTCAGGGTGTCCACGGTCCCTACCAGTTTGTGGAGTGCCTGACTTGGCAGGGCCTCCTGCCACGGTGAGCTGCAGGCAGGAGGAGAGTCAGAGGAGGCCAAAGAGCCACAGAGTTTAAACCCCAGCTCTGACATTTGCCAGTGTCGGTGGGGGCAGCTTTTCCCCATTAGTATCTAAGTTTTCTTATCTTTCTCCCTTGGTGGATGGGTAGGGTCTCACAACCTTGCCTGCATCATAAATAAGGAACCAGGAACCACTATGGAGAGCTGTGTGGAGATTTCTGGACCTACTAAACATAGAGCTTCCATATGATCCAGCAATTCCACTCCTAGGTATTTACCCAAAGGACACAGAAACATCAATTCCAAAGAGCACCTGCACCCCTATGTTTATAGCAGCACTATTTACAATAGCTAAGCTTTGGAAACAGCCCAAAGGCCCAAAAACAGATGACTGGATCAAGAAGATGTGGTACATATACACCATGGAATATTACTCAGCGTTCAAAAAAGATAAATACATGCAATTTGCAGCAACATGGATGGAGCTGGAAGGGATTATGCTCAGCGAAATAAGCCAGAAAGAAAAAGAAAAATACTGGATGGTCTCACTCATAGCAGGAATCTAGAAAACTTAAATAAGGGACCAGGAAAAAGAATAACTATAAGAAAGAAAATATCAAAATCAACAAACAACTATGAACCAGAGACACTCTATGGGGGATGGGGGGGTGGGGAAAGGAGGGATTGGGGTCAGAATAAGGGGGTTATAATTGTATGGGGAATATAAAAATAAAATTTAAATTAAAAAAAAAGAATTTAGAAAAAAATAAAAATATATCCATTGATTACACAAATAAATAAATAAATAAATAAACAAATAAATAAATAAATAAATAAGGAACCAGGAAAAAGACTAATTATAATAAAGTAAAAATCAAAATCAACAGCAACTATAAACCAGAGACACACCACAGGGGTGGGGGACGTAGGAGGGAGTAGGATCAAAACAGGGGGGTGGGGGTGGGAATTGTATGGGGACTATAACCAAAATAAAAATGCATACATTGTGAAAAAATGAAAAATTATGTAAAAAACATATAAAATTAAAATCATAATAAAAAAAGAATCCACCAGAGGGCTTGCTCAGGTCTCCCAGGCCCCAGCCCATTATCAGGTTCAGTGGGTCTGCCCTGGGGCCAAAGAATCTCCATTTCTCACAAGTACCCAGCTGGGGCATTTGCTGCTACTGTCCAGGGCTGCATGGTGAGGACCCCTAGGTTACAGTGGAGACTCCCTGGAGAATTTTGTGCATTGAGATGGTATTTGTCTTATATGCACTCTCTCTGCGCCGGCCTGTAGCAAACCTGGGTTTTATTTAAACTTCATATTCACCCCGTAAGCCCTTTCCACTGTCATTACATGTTCACAGCTTTGACCCTGTGGCAGTCATGACCCTGCTCTTTGCCTTTGTCACAAAGCTGAGTGGCTCTGGGCAAGTCATTGAACCTTCCAGGACACCAGTCTCCTTCCTGTTCAGAGGATCCTTGGGAGATTACTGCACTAGAACGCTCAAAACAGGCCAACCTGTCAATACTCAGAGGTCTTCCCTATGAAACCCCCACTTCCTACTGAGAAGATAGAAGCTCTGAAGGTCACAACCGGTCATCTGAGGCCATACACCATCACGTGGGAGATCCAGGGCCAGCTTCCACCTCCCTGAGACCAGCTCCCAGCTGATAGTGGTTATTAATAAATACTCAGATATTTGGCTGCTTGGAGCCTTGGGAAAGGAAAGGGGACAAGTTGTTCCCTTAGGGCAGCTGTGGGAGAGGCTAGTGTGAGAGGAAGAAGGGAGAAAAGGAGGAGAAGAGCTGGCTCAGCTGGCAGGGATAGAGATGGGTGTATTGATAAAGGAGGATCAGAAGACAGAGAAGGATCTGGCTGGAAGTTGAAGGTTTCCATATTCGATGTCATCATAGAAAATGTCTGTGTCACTGGTGTCCAGAAATCCTCCAGAGAATGGGGGCAGGGTATGCAGGGGGAGGGAAGGCTTGTCATACAGGGCATGTCAGCAAGGGGTCAGAGTGTGTCTGTGATGCCATTCTCCTGATGCCTCTATTTTCTGTATAATTGAAGTCCTCAAATGTAATAAGGGGCTTAAGACAGGGACATATTTGCTCTAAAACAGCACTGGAAGCAGTCTGAGATTCCTGTGCTGCTGAAATAAATGCCCTCTGCTTTAGTGGCCGAATCCTATACACATGTTCTCTTAGAGCTCAGCAAGTCTGAGGGCAGCTGCAGGAGAGGCAGGTGTGAGAGGTGTTGCCAGCTACAGTCCAGGTGTCAGCAGGGTTTCATCCCCTGAGGTTCTAGGGCAGAAGCATGTTCTTGCCTTTTCCTATTTCTGGAGGCCACCCACTTTTCTTGGCTTGTGGCCCCTCCTCCATCCACCCCCTAGAAATAGTCATGATCACCTTGATCGGTCCATCGTCTCTCCAGAGTAACCTGGCGTCATTCACATAGTCATTCATTTGTTCAAAGCCAACAAAGCCAGCAGTGACCCATCTTTCTCATGATGAGCTCATTCCTACCCAGGCCCTTTGCATGAGTGGCTCCCTTTGCCTGGGATGCTTTGCCCACTGCAATTCCGAAGGCTGTGGCTGATTCTTTTTTTTTTAAAGATTTATTTATTTATGCATACAAAAACTGGGGTACAGGCCAGAGATGCGGGGGGTGAGATGAATCCCCGCCAGAGACAGAGTGGGGGACAGAACAGGCAGATTGACTGAAGTACACTGCTGAGGGGAGCAGCGAACGAGTCAGGAGAGGTCTGCTGCGCTATGTGGGTTGCTCCCTGGTGGGCCAGGGATCGAACTCATGCTGCAGAGACTGCGGATTGCTTCATAATGCTATGCTTAACCCCTTGCGCCACCAGGGAGGCTTGTGGCTGATTCCTTTTTGCCATTCAGATGTGAGCTCCACTTTGGCATTAAGAGCCATTTCCCTGAGTAACTATTTCAAAAGACCACCCCCACCCCCATCCAATCACTTGCTGTCCTGACCTGGCTTTATTTTCTTCAGAGTGGGAATTGCGTATTTGTGTATATGTTCACTTGTCTGTGTCTCTTGTCTCACTGAAGCCATCTTTATTTTATTCCCTGCTGAATTCCCCTATATCCAATACAACACCTGGCACATAGTAGTTGCTCAGACATTATTTGTTGAACAAATGAATGACTATATGAATGACGCCAGGTTACTCTGGAGAGACGATGGACCAATCAAGGTGATCATGACTATTTCTAGGGGGTGGCTTTGCTGACACCCCATCCACTGGGCATCCAGATGATGGTTGACCCCAGCAGGAGCCCGTTGCCACACTGGTCACACCTCTTCCTGTGCTTGCAGAGTTCTAGCATCTGTAAGGCCGCTGTGCACGCAGGCATCGTCAGCAACGAGAGCGGGGGCTACGTAGACGTGATGCCGGTGGATAAAAAGAAGACCTATGTGGGCTCACTGAGAAACGGCATTCAGTCTGAAAGGTAGGAGGGGTTGGACTCTGAACCTCATGGCCAGCCTGGGTGGCCCCTCGGGAGCCTGGGAGGCCAGCCTGTGCTTTGTCCTTGCACCTCAAACTTGAGCAGGCTTGTAGTCATTTTTTTAAAATATTTTTATTTATACAAGCACTGGGTACAGTCAGAAGTGCAGGAGGGTGAGAGAATTCACCAGAGCCAGAGTGGGGAGCAGAACAGGCAGAAGTACACTGCTGAGAGGAGCAGAGGGCAGCAGGAGAGGTCTGTGCGCCATGTGGGACCCTCGCTGGTGGCCAGGGATCGAACCAGCGCTACAGCGGCTGCGGGCAGCTTTGCAGCCCAGCGCTCAACTGCTGCACCACCAGGGGAGGCCCGGCTTGTAGTCATTCTTACCAGAACACCTGGGGCGGGCCCGTTCTTTTCTTTTTCTTCTCTTTTTTCCCACACTAAGGACTATTTTCTTTCTACCACCAATGAGTGCTTTTGTTGAAAATTTAGAAATGTCAGCTAAGCCCAGAAAAAGCAATCATCTGTATAACCTGTCACCTGGGAAAATTACTGGTAGATTTTTGGTATATATACCTTGGCCCCTGTTTCCATGTGTGTGCGTGCGTGCATGTGTGTTTGTGTGTGTGTGCATGCATTCACATGTGTGCACATATTGTTCAAATATTTTCCCCACCAAAACCCAAAAAAAGTTGGGATTAAGTTCTAGTTACAAGATAGTTACATGTACTTCGTAATACTGTGGCTACAAACTACTACATAACCGGGAGCCAGAGGTACAGTCCAGCAGGGGATCTGCTTCTCCACTGTGGTGGAGCCTCGGCGTCAGGTCTGTGATCTGGGTTGACCTCACAGGGCTGCTGGGTGGATGAACTGAGACGCCTGTCAGAGCCTTGCAGTTGGAGCACTCCATGTGTGGGGTCGTGTTTACGGCTCTGTCCTTACACTTTTTAGGTCACAGAGTTGCTCCTAAACCAGCTCCCCATGTCCCTAAGTGCGACAGAGTCACGGCAAGCCAGCGCCACCTCCCTCCTTGGTCCAATAGTTACATTCTTTCCACCCGGGGGCTGCTGGTCATCCCGATGGCATCCTTACTGGAAAAGGCCTGCACTGTGATCGCTTCCTTAAATCCCTGGAAGTGGCATTTTTGGGTCAAAGGCTGTGCAGACTTCTAAGGCTTTGGGCATGCCTTTTCGGAATGTTCTCCAGGAAGGGCCCCCACCCTGGTTCAGGCTGCCAATATGCTTTCTGGCACATGCTGCTCATCCTCACGTGCGTCACCGGTGTCCATGGTGGCAAGCCACAGGCCTGGAGCCCAGAGACCCCACCCAGCCCTGGGGTTTCCTCTCAGGAGCCCCATGATCTCAAGCATGGCACAAAATGGGAATGTTTATCACACCTGCTGGGGAGTAGATCCAGCTTGGGGGTGTATTTGTTTCTAGGGCCACCAAGCACCCAGCTGGGGGCCTCAGCAACAATTGGTTGCCTCAGTCTTGGATGCTGGAAGCCCAAGACCCCAGCTGTGGGCAGGACTGGCTCCTCCCAAGGTCTCTGCTCCCGTGTCCTCATGGGGCCATCCCTCCATGCCCGTCTGTGTCCTGATCTACTCTTCTTAGAAGGATTGGGGCCCACCTAGTGACTTCATTTTACCCTACTCACCCCTTTAAAGACCCTCCCTCCAGGTATACTCACGTCTGAGGTCCTGGGGGTGAGGACTCCCACACAGGACTTTGAAGGGGTCACAACTCAGCCACGACAGAGAGTGGCACTGAAGATCTCACATTGAAGGGCCTGTTTCAGACAAAGAATCTACAGTGAAGGGCACAAAGTGTGCCAGACACCCCAAAGCTCAGGCCTTCCTGTTCATGACCTGCCCCTCCTCTCTCGCCCACCCTCCCTCTGGAGGATGCTGGACAGAAAGACCACCCAGGTTCAGGCGATTCCCAACTCCATAGTTCTCCCCCAGGCCCAGCAGCTGAGTCTAATGGTGTCTCTGTTTTCTCCTTCAACATTTGCGATCTTGTTTGGGAAAAGCTTTATGAAGGGGAAATTGCATTGATTTAATGGGAGGGAAACGAAGCTGCTGATGAGGCAGAATTTCCTGGCCCGGCTAGAAAGAAATCCCAGAACACCAGTCTCCTGATTTCTCTATACTCTTTTAAGAGAAGGCAGCCTTTGGGGTGTCTAGGGGGCCCCTGCCTTTGTTCCTCTGCCTGTTGTCCTGAGAACATCACAGTTGCCTGAAGGCTGCCCACTGGGGCTTCTTGTGAGTCCCCACAGGACTGGCAGGACTGGGGAGAGCAGGGGACCGAGAGAGAGGGTCTCCAGGTGGATTCTTTCCCACAGACATCACCCACTCCCCCCAGGAGGCCTGTTCTTCCTCTGTACCTGAGGGATCCACCTGCATTGCCACAGTCTACCTGGTAGCCTTCCAGGGCCCCAGTATGGCACCACAGGCCTTACTATTGCAAAGAGTCCAGTATGTTTCCCCAGTGTCTCGCCCACCCCTCAAAGTCCCGCAGGCTGCAGATTGTGATTATGCTTGAGCCAGTTCATCAACCTTGCTGCCCTGCACTTTCTTTGCCTATGAAGGGAAAGTTGCGAGCACCTGTACCCTGGGGAGATGACACTGCAGGGGTTCCTCCCACCATGAGCTCCCCAGACTAGCAGCATCCAGATTATCAGAGCCTGGTTAGCAAAGCAGAGTGGGGCCCACCTCAGGCCTACTGAGCTAGAAACCCCAGGGCTAAGCTCAGCAGTGTGTGACCCTGTCTCCAGGGGCCTGAAGGCAACCAAGGGTGACATCTGCTATCTGGGGGGCTGGGAAGGGAACCTCATCCCATGCAGAGTCAGCACCATTCATGGTGCTGATATTCTGTGACTAAGTACTTGCTGCATAGGTGCGGCAGCACTTGCGCTAGGAGTCACGGGCACTGAGACAGTGGTGCACCCTGCAAGCATGGAGGGTGAGTGAACCTTGGAGCCACACAGGCAGTATCAGGAGGGCACACGCCCACAGTGTGTGGTGTGGGACCAGCTCTGTTTCCTTGCTGGATGCCCTGGGGTCAGCATCTCCCCTGGCTTCGTTCTGGTCAGTGGCTGCTGTGAGGATTAAGGAGTTGCTTGGCACAGAGGCCTCCTTCCCCAGCAGCTCACAGTTAGCCCCCATCAGAGCTGGTGCCTTGTTAGCCTCCATCAGAGCTGGTGCCCTGTCGTGACTTCATGACTATGGTCTGTTATAGATCCCGTTGTTCTTTTACTATGGGCCAAGTGACTCTATCATAAGAAATAGCCTGTGTGAATTATCTTCTAGGACAGGGGAGAAAGCATCTACAGGAAAGTATCCTTTCATCCTGGCGCCCATCCTTCTGGTACTCCCTCATCCACCTCACACAGCTGAGCCCTCACGGAGCCCCAGCTGGGAACACACAACCAGATCTCTGCCCTCGTGGGTCTGGCCAAGGAGTGGGGACCAGACGCTGCAGAAATAATGATGCCACTAGGCAGGCACAGGGTGTCCCTGTTATGCCATGAGGCGCAGGAGCCAGGACCATCTGACGGTCCTTGGTGATTCCAGTAGATGCCATGCCCGCCCCTTGTTTCATAGGACCTCAGCAGTCCTCCCTGCGCAGAGCCTGCGTTGAGAAAATTCCCGAGTCTGTTTCCATTAGGGACCGTGGGAACCAAGCCTGGGCCAGGGGCTGACTCTGTCCCTGGCCTCTGCTGAGATCCTAGAGTGGCCTCAGAGTGTCCCAAAGGAGATGTGGCACTGGGTATTTCATGACCACTTACAGTCTGTTCTAAATTTGGGGAAACCCATCCATCACACAAAGCAAAACCTCCTGAGTAGAATTTACACTCAGTAAGAACCAGTTCTGCTTCTAAGTGGTTTTGGTTTAGCAATGACCCCTTCTCAAAAGAGGATTTCCTGAAAGTTTTGAAAGGTGGCCAGGCAAGATTAGGACAATGTCAGGGCCAGGAGCCTCTGCCCCGAAGGAGATCAGAGGAAGGGAAAAGTATCCAGAAGCACTTCTGGTGTCAGGCCCCGGGTTTGTCTGAATATTCTCGGGAAGAAGCTGGACATCAGGGCAAATATGAATTCAGAATTTTTGCTTAGACCAGGCCTGTTTGTAAAGACAAATTTATAAGGAGATTGGGAAATATACCTACATGACAGATAGCATCCTTGGTCTTTGGTTTTAACAACTATAACCTGTATGCAAAGGTGGGTGACTTTCCTCTGGACCTGGTTTTTTTCCAGAATTCTCTGTTGACACATGGATATTCTATTTGGGGATTTTTTGGTTGTGTTCTGTTTTTACAAATATGGAGTCAAATGATGTCATTCTGTGTGTGGTATTTTTTGGTTGGCAGTGGGTCATGATTGCCTCTTGCGGCCACATTCATGTAGCCATGCCATGGTCCCTGAGGCTGCATGTCCTAGTGTGTGCAGTGACAGTGCTTTCTTCACCCAGTTTATTGACATCTGCGTCATTTCCTTGGTTTTCTTTTACTATTGTAAGCAACACTGCAAAAACCATCTTTGCCCACACTCATGTACTCTCCTCACAAGATCCTCAGTCATTTCCTTTTGGTAGAATAGCCACAGCCATTAAATCAAGCTCTTTATGTCTCTCCTGTTTAAAGTCTACCACCCCTGCCTGCTCTTGCCTCTCCACCTCTCTGCACATTGCTTCTCATCACCACATCTCTGCCTCACCAAGCTTCTCTGTTCCCCCCACATACCTCAGGGCCTTTGCACCTGCTGTTACCAGTCCCAGACCTCCTCAGCTCCTGTGTGTTCCAGTGGCTGAGTCCCTCTTGTCATTCAGATGTAAACATGAATGCTGCCCCACAAAAGGAGCACTCCCCCAACCATAGTCCGTATTGCCCTCTGCCTGTGTTGTCTCCCTGATCTGACCTGGCCCGATTCCTTCCCCCATGTCATTTTCCTCCCAGGACTCATCACTGAAATGATTTCTTTCACCTATTCTGCTGTTTACCCCCTGCCCCTCCCACACCAGACTACAGCTCCATGTAGGTGAGAACGCCATCAGTTTTGTTCACCCTGTGATTCCAACACCCATTCCAGTGCCTGGCACATAGTAGGTGCCCAGTAAATATGGGTTGAATGACAGACAAGTTGCTGAGTTCAGAATGAGGGATTTCTGATACGCTTTATGAAAAATTTTTAATGGCCTTTTTTAAAATGGTTCCGTACCTTTTATGAAAATTGCAAAGAAATGCTGTGTCTGTTTACACTCCCTTCATGTAGGTATAGGAGTTATAGACCATTCCAGAATCAGAGAGAAGGTTGAGAAAGGAGGGTGGAGTCAGCCCACACCTGTCTTTCATCAAAAGACACAGCTCTCTGAGTATCTATCATAACTATAGCTTAGTAAGTGAGGTGTGAGCAAATGGGGAGTCACCCAAGTCTTTCTTGAACACCCCAAACCAGGGGGTTCCTTGCCTGGTACAGCAGATGGGCCCAACACCTGGTGATGTCACTTCACCCCCTCAGAGTCAACAACCCATTGTTCAATGTGCTAAATCCATACCCTGTTCATCAGGGCCTGCTCTTGCCCTAGGTGGATGCCTTGTCCAGCTGGGATGCCTCGTAGGTCTGGACAAGATGTTCAGATGTCCAGGTGCTTTGGGGAAACTTGTCTGGATGGCAGCCTGAACCCCTTGTCCCTGGGTAGTTTGGGACACTGCTGGCCACAGACGTTCCAGTAGGAAGTTAGAGGAGACACAAAGCCTGGTCCTCAGCAACACATGGCCTGCAAATATAGGCTGGCCTCTGCCTGTGGCTCTGGGCACTTCCCCCAGACTATGCACTTAGACAATCCAGGGAGTCATATAGCTTGGAGGCCTGAGGGGGGCCCTGTTGTCTTCTGAGCCTTCCAAAAACCTATGGCAGCCTGAATAACCCCATTCCCTGGGCGGCCCATCTTGCTTCGCGTGCCCAGTGGGGAGCTGCTGGCCCAGGGCCACGAAGCCAAGCTTTCAGCTGTGTCTTGGCTCTTAGCTTCTCTTCCCATCTCCACAGCACCAAGTGCTTCCATCTGATATATATTTCCCAAGTTCAATCCCAGGGTAGCCAAGAGTGTGGAGCTGCCATGGCAAAAGCAGGGGAAACAACTAGGAATTCCAAGCAGTCTGCTCCCCAAGGAGTACTGGCTGTTTCCAGCAGCTCCCCAGAACCATGGCCATCTGTCCAGTCCTCAATTTCCAATGTGGGCCCCTCTTATCTAGAGGGAGGATGCTGAAGGAAATCAGTCTTCACTCATGCCAGGGCTGTTCATGTTACCCATGAATTTATTCATAATAAGCAAGATGCAAATTATAACAACAACTGGAGGCCATTCCTGAGCTAGACGGGCTGAGAGTGAACTCTCAGTGCCATAGTGGCATGCTGTGCCATTCTGAGCAGGGGCCTCAGGCTTGGCTGGTAGGAGCAGTCCACCAGCACAGCCTTTGTTAAGGGCACTCTGAGCAGCTGTCCAGAGCACAAATGCATATGTATATCCTTTGATCCAGCAATCCCACCTCTAGGCTTGTCCACAGGTGTACTCATACATATGCAGAAAGCTCCAGGGACAGTGCTGTTCTTTGTAGCATTGTTTGAAAAAAAAAGATATTAGAGATAATTAAATTTCTATTCATAGGGATTCAGTTAATTATATTATAATACCTTAATACAGTGGGATATTATGCAATTGAATAAAAAGTATGAGGAACCTTTGAGGTACAGACAGTCACTACGTGGACTTGGGGAGTCAAACCCGCAGTATCTGGTGTTGGCTGGGGTGTGGGGGAGCAGGGAGCCCCTGTGCCTGCTAGAAGGAATGTAAAGTGGTGCGGCTGCTTTGGAAAGAAATTTGGGCAGTTTTTTAAAACAGTGGACATATATTTAACATGCTACTTAAGAATTCCTCTCCTAGTTATATCAAAGGAATTGAAAGCCTATTTCCACAAGTGTCAGCAGCATTATTTAAAACAGCTAAAAAGTGAAAAGAATTGAAATGTCCATTAACTGAGGCGTGGATAGACAAAATGTGGCCTCTCCATACGGTGGAATATTATTTGGCAATCAAAAGTAATGGCATACTTGATACTTGCTCCCTCTTGTAATAACCTCAGAAATACTACGCTAAGTGGCAGAAGCTATGCCCAAGGCCACATAGTGTTTGAGTCCATTTGCAAGAAATATCCAGAATAGGTAAAACCTCAGAGACAAAAGTTGCCTGGAGGGAAGGGGAAGGAAGTGATTATAGGTGGGAGCAGAAGATCTTTTTGGGGTGAGGGTAACAACCTAGAGCTGGATTGTAGAGATGGTTGCATAACCGCATAAAAAGACTGAAATCATTGAGTCAGGCACTTTAAAAGGGTGAATTTCATGGTTTGCCGTGCCTCATGAACACTGTAAATGGCTTTCAGTCGGCTGAGGGATTTACTGTCTATGTTAAAACCATAGTTCTTCTGAGCTGGGTGACCTAGGATATGTCCCTTCATTTCTCATTGCCAAGTTTCCGCCTGCAAAACCGGGACCCCTATAGCCCTCTCCTGAAGAAGGTCCAAGGCAGCTTCACAGCACCCACGCTGTGCTCAGCACTGTATTCTTCTGGGTCCCTGTTTAATAATCATGGCACATGCACTGTTGTTGTAACACCGCCTAGAAAAGCTGTCGACCAGATGGCCGCTATTTGGGTTGATGGAGTGGCGAAAAAGCAGGCGGAGGTCTTGGAGGGTGAGTTCAATGCAGACAGACTGGGGCCAGTGAATCTGGGGCTAAAAGAAAATAACTTAACAGCCCTGACCTAGATTTAGATCCAGGGCGGTTTGCAGAGAGTATGGAATTTGCCGCCGAGCTGGCTCAGGACAGGCTCTTGCCAGCCCCTGCTGGGGAGGGGGGGTAGTGGGGGCGGGGTTCCCTGGCCCTGGTTCTTCACCAGGGACCCAGGGGGCTCCAGTGCTCCCTTCCAGCGCCAGCCCTGCAGAAGGCCCTTCAGACCTCTCGGTAACACGCCTCGTTTTCTCTTTCAGCTTGAGGACCCCTCGAGACGGGAAGGCCTTCCGGATCTTTGCGGTCAGACAGTGAATCCTGGTGTCGGGGAGCAGGGGTGTGTTCCAGAGGGCTTCGGGGTTTTGCTTTTTGTTTGTATCTTGTCACTTGGGGGTGGGCTGGGCACACGGAGAGCACCTTCCTTTGAGCGGCGCTCAGTGTCACCTCCTCTGTGCCTTTGTCTTGTGTCCGCACTGTGGAGCAACAGCCTCCTCCGGGGCCTGACCTGACAACCGAGGGCCAGTCCCGCTGGGGCCTGGGGTCTCCCCCTGCGGCCGCTACTTCACAACCACGGGGTGTTCCTCCCATGTGTTCCTTTATGGGTGCAGGGATGGCCGCAGACCTGCAGGGCCGAGGACGGGAACCCGTGTCTGGGCACTCAGGTGCGGGAGGGGCATTCTGAGCAACTGCGGGGTTGGGGGGGCGGTCAGGAAGGGGACAGAGGTTGCTATTTAAACAATTAGAACACCCCCGTCCATCCCGACTAATGGGGGAAAATTGGCTTAATGTTTGCTGGTCAGACAAATGGGCCAAACAAGGGGGCTGGGGAGGAGGGCTCAAGGACCTGTCCTTGCTGGTGTCCTGCCCCGTGCAGGCTGGTCACCTCCACAGCAGAGCTGCTTGTTTAGAGTTCAGCGCTCATTCCAGAGACTTCGCTCATCTTTGTCCTTCCCTTTGTCCATCATATTGCCCGTCCATGTAGGCCGTGACCTTTGGTCTTGAGGACTAACGGGCAGGACCCTTTCTCGCTCCCCACCCAGTGGCTCCGCGCCATCCCCGGACACCCTGACAGTCCAGTCTCATACAGGGTCTCTGCTTGGCAAGTGGTTCTGTTTGAAGCCCACTTAAAACAAAACAAAACAAAACAAAACTCCTGGTCTCTGTTGGTTCCACTGGGATGTCTAAGAACAGCCCAAGCAGGGCTGTTTGGTGGCTGGTTTTCAAAGTCAAATCTTAAAGTGGAGCTTCTCCAGCCCCCAGCAAGCTGCTTTGTGCAGGGGCGGGATGGCTCCTCAGCGCATTCCTCCCAGAGGGTAATGGCTCTGGAGAGAGGCTCAGTCTGTGGTTATGCAACTGGAGTCAGGAAGACACGAGGAGGCTTTTTCTTCCTGTTTTTGTGCAGCCAGTCTCGCCACATGTTCTCCCGGCTTCAGTGCGAGGAGCATGGCACTCTTGGGCATCCGTCACCTTATAAAAGCGCTTCATAAGCCCAGAGCAAAAGCCAGCAGTGAAATGGCAGCCCCTTTGGTAAATTGCCTTTCTCTGCCGGAGGTGCCTCCAGGCTGGTCAGTCTATCTGCTTTGTGAACGCCAGTTTCAAATAGGATTTCACTCTCCCTGAAAATATTTTGAAGGCAGAGGTAATAGCAGAAAGTTTCAAAAACCAAGATGGTTTAGACGAGGAACGCTGCTTGAGGAGTGATTGAGTGTCGTCGTTGAGTGCATCCCTGATCAATGCAGAAACTGAAGGGAAGTAGCTCCTCGCAACAGGCCCTTTTAGGGAGTCAATAAAAGCAATGAAACTATTAGTTTACGGAGCCGAGACTAGCAGGATCAGGTGCGTGTGGGCTCGTGGTCACTGACTGGCCGGCTAGTCAAGCCCAGGAGTCAGCAGAAGAATCTGCTCAGCCTGTCCCATCCTGGTCTCCTTTCTGCCAAAGATCCGAGGGCCTGCAAACTCTGCCCACTGGGTGCCGCATGCTCAGACCCTCGCTGCACTTCTCCTTCATTGCCAGTCTTCTGCCAAGCCCGCAAGGTTTAGAATTAGTGACAGTCCCAGGCTGTTTCAATGGGGTTTGACTTTGAGGCAGCCGACCCAAGGGAGAATCCGAAACTTCCAGCATGAGTCTGCCCCATTGTTTTAAAATCAAGCTCCCTCCCGGTGCCCGGAGCCTTGCTGGCCTCCCCTGTTGCAAGATGAAGTCCTCACCCAGAGCCACATCTCCGCGCTTTCTCATCCTCACGAGCATTTGGAAACCAGGGGCCACTTTTCTTCCGAATACGAAGATAAGACTATGCATTATGAGCCCTCATCACCAGGAGCACCTCCAACTTTGTGTACGTGATGGGTGCTCAGCCGCGGTCAGCGAGCAGAGAAACAGGCCCGCGGTGTTTCTACATCCCCTGCCCCCATATGCAAAGTTTCGGTTTCCCTCACATTTTTGCCCTCGTGTGTTCTGATTTTTCATATTGTCTGTAGGCTCACGCAGCCCGCAGCTTACATGTGTGCTTTTTTCTATGAAAAATGATGTATTTTACTACTTGCTACATACAAAGGTTTATTGTCAATTGTTTGTGTGCTTTGCATGAACAGGGACCACGTTGCTGTTATTTCAATAAAACTGGTTTGATTTCTTAAACATTCCTGTGACTTAACTTTTATGGACACATCTGCAACGTCTCTGAAGCTGTGGAATCGCAGGCCGGGCATGGGTCCAGAACCTCTCGGAGGCCTTGCCCTGACGGTCACCCGCCCCTTGGAGTGAAGGGGGGTGGAAGTCAAAATGCAGACTCTGCTCCCGTTGCTCTGGGACTTAAAAACTGAAATTAATTTTTCTCTCCATTCTGGAGCAGGGCCCAACCCACTGAGTTGTTGTGCCTGGGTGTGAGGCTAGCACCCTGGGTGTTAAGGAGCCCTCTGGGTGGGGAGAGGTTTGGTGTTTGCTCTGGTTGGGAATCATCGCTCAGACATCCAGATCTCCCGGGTCACACACACACTGGCCCCTCACACAGTTTGAGACAGGGAAAGGGTGGGAGTGGAGGAAGCTTCTTTTCTTCCAGGGAAGAAAATCTTTGCTGGTACCACCCAGGAGCCTGTGTTTAAGACCCTGTCATCACAAATGGATCACATGCGTGTCCCCAGATCCATCGGCACAACTGTGGAAAAAAACAGGAAGATTGAGGGTAGAAAGAGGGAGGCCAGGGGCCCTGAGAACTGTCATCAGGTCAACAAGGCTTTGGAGTGGAGTGACATCAAGAACCAGGACTCAGACTTACCTGGGTTTGCATCCCAGCTTTACTGACTGTGTGAGGTCGGGCACGTTGTTTTTCAGCTATCATCTGGAGAAGAACGAGGATCACACAGAGCTGCCATGCGTTATCACACTCACTGTTTTGCAACATATAACTAATGCCAGTGGGTGCCTGGCACAGGGAGATGGCTTTCTGCAAGTACCTAATAGGCAGAACTGTCCTAAGGTCAAGTGGTCTATGCAAGAAGGGAGTGAGCTCTCCATCCCTGGAAGGATACAAGCAGAAGCTCGAAGAACCTTGGGCTAGATCAACTTTAAGACCCTTCCCTCAGGCTGACTCCCAGCAGAGACCCTCCTTCCTCAATCCTACCCTGTGCAAGCAGTGACAGGGACCCAGGAAGCTATGGAATCCTGAATCCTCAGACCATGGCCATTTCTTCTCAAAAAGGAACAGGAAATGTAGCTGGTCCTAAAACTGTTGTGTTTTATTGCACTGATTTTGTTTTGTTGTGTCTATCTACCTTGCTTCCAACTTTTCACACCAAACTAAAACCCATCCTAGACACCCACTGGGGCTTAAACATCTTTTAAGCCCTTAAAAATAAATAAATAAATCTGGTCCAGAGGGAACAGGTTTTGAAAAACCTCATTACACTCTTTTTACTCTTTCATCTTGGCCAACCAAACTGCTACCAACCTTCATCCAGGAACCAGAGAGACGGGCCCTTCACCAGTTCCGTCTGTCAGTGCCAGGTCTGGCACTGTGGTGGGCAAAGTGCCTCCCGGGGTTCTGCCTCCCACCAGGCTGGCCTGCCAGCACACAGCACAAAGGAAAGCTTCCCTGCTTTCCTTCTCATACACATAATGACTGAGGCCCCGCGTGTATACTTTACCTCCCAAGTTACCAGCCCAGGCCCACTGTCCCCGCCTCGCACAGCAAGCTATGAAAGGAACTCACCTGTGTTGAGTCCAGCACAATGCAAGGTACTGGCAGGCACCGAGTGTACACTGTCTCGAATAAGCATGCCTCTCTTTTAAGACTTGCTGATTCAGTTTTATTTGCAGAATGTGATTCAGGAGCTGATCTGATTTTATGTGTCAGGGTGTCTATTTGGGATCCATTTGGCTGCAGGTAACAGAGCTGGCCACAGCAGGAGGTTGCAGGCCCAGGGTACAGTGCTCAGGAATTCCCAGTGACAAGCTTCCTCCCCACGTCCTGCTCTGCATCCCTCAGCACGTGGCATTTTCCTTAGGATTGCAAGATGACTACATCAGGTCTAGCAGGTCATAGGGTCATAGATGTTCTTGGAAGAAGAGGGATGTGGTGAGGGCAGAGTCCTATGGCAGCTGATTCTGTCCCTTTTGTTCCAGTGCTGTGTTTTTCAGCTATAGAACATACACTTTCTAATTGTGAAATCTGTTATTTTGTCATTTACTTCAAAGACCTTCCCTTTCTGACTTCAGCGTAGATCTCTATCCGCTCACTCCAGAATGTGGGTCATCACGGGATAGTCACCATAGACTGTCTTTTTTTTTTTTTTAAAGATTTATTTATGTATGCATACAAGAGCTGGGGTAGGCCAGAGGTGTGGGCGCGGAGGGGGGGTTGTTGAGAGGATTCACCAGAGACAGAGTGGGGAGCAGAACTAGCAGATCTACTGAAATACACTGCTGAGGGGAGCAGCAGGTGAGGCAGGAGAGGTCTGCTGCGCCATGTGGGTAGCTCCCTGGCCAGGGATCAAACTTGTGATGCAGAGGCTGTGGATAGCCTCACAGTGCTGAGACTTAACCACTTGTGCCACCAGGGAGGCCCACCATAAACTGTCTTTTCTCTTGAGCAGGGGTGCACAGATGCTTTCTTTGTTTCTTTTTTAAAGATTTATTTACTTACTTACTTACTTACTTACTTATACAAGCACTGGGTACAGTCAGAAGTGCGGGAGGGTGAGAGAATTCACTAGAGCCAGAGCAGGGAGCAGAGCAGGCAGACTGACGAAACACACTGCTGAGGGGAGCAGCGGGCGCGGCAGGAGAGGTCTGTCGTGCCATGTGGTACCCTTGCCGGTGGACGGGGATCGAATGGGCGCTGTAGAGGCTGCGGGCAGCTTTGCAGCCCAGCGCTCAACTGCTGCGCCACCAGGGGAGGCCTTACAGATGCTTTCTGAAAGGACCCAAGCAATAAACAATCAGGGTCATGAACCAGGTGTCCCTCTCGTGTGGACTCTGCTGTGGAGCATAAAAGCAGCCATAGATGGTAACTGAGTGGGTGAGCTTGACTTCCAATAAACCTTCATTTTCAAAAACAGGCAGTCTGTGCACAGCGGTAACTTGCTGATTCCCTTCTCTTGAGTATGGAAACTTTTTAGCGTCTTTGTGTGTCTGGTAATTTCAGGTTATGTCTTGGATGTTTTGAGTAATGCATCATGGGAATGCTAGATGGGTATATTTTGTTTGAGCAGAAAATGAACCCATCTGGACTCCAGTCCCATCTCTGCACCACCGCAGTGCCCTGCACTGAAATGCTCTTAGTCCTGTTGGCCTTCGCTGCTCTGTGTGGAGTCTGTTCCATGCAAACACACTTCAGGGATCAGCCTGAGACACAGGCAGAACTAAGACGCGAAACTTGACCTTCCTTGTCTGTAGTCTCTCCTTTCTGGGATTTCCTGTCTCACTTTCTGGCTCCTGTGTTCTCAGGTTCTGCATGGCACGGACTGGCTGTCTTTGGGAAAAGGCTGTAAATCACAGGAGACCCACACAGTGCTGGACCCTCCCTCTTAAATGCTGACCCCAATGCAATTCCTGCCTCGGCTCTTTGGAGACCATTGTAGAGTTGTGCTGTATAGCTTGTCAGGAGTTTGGGGTCATGAATAGAGTAGCCAGCCTGATTGTAGCTGCCCTGCCGAGACTGGGGGCAGAACCCTGAGTCTAAGACTAATTAGAAAAGCAAGGAGATGCTAGCTTTCCCAGAAGTGTCTGCTGAGCCCAGCTCCATGCCAGCTCTTCCCTCCCTCCCTTCCTTCCTTCCTTCTGTCTTTCCTTCCTTCCCTGCACCAGTAAATTTGTACTCTGGTGCAAAAGTGCTCCAGAAGAGGCACCAAAACTGCCTCAGAACCCTCAGAAGAGGGTTCTGCCGCCCCTTGGAGCTGCAAGGGAGTTTGGAGAGATGGATTTTTAACTGAGCACATTGCAAATCCCACTGACAAGGAAGGAGAGAAGAGCCCTTGGGTGGGAAAGGTGCATTCTCCTGTGAACTTACAACTGGTGCACCAGTTTCTGAGAGCCGCCATCATAAATGAACACAGTCTTGTGGCCTAACCAATAAAAGTTTACTCTTTCCTGATTCTGAAGACAAGTCTAAAATCAGGGTGTTGGCAGGTGCTGCCCTCTGCAGGCTCTAAGGGGGATCCTACCTGCTCTTCCAGCTCCAGGTGGCTCCGCTGTCCCTTGGCTTGTGGCTTCGCCCCTCTAGTCTCTGCTCTCTGTCTTCACGTGGACTCTCCATGTATCTCTCTGCATCTTCTCTCCTTGTAAGTATAGTCATTGGATTTAGGGCCCCCTAAATCCAGGATAATTTCATCTCAAAGACCCTTAACTAATTATATCTGAAAAGGCCCTATCTCAGAATAAGGTCACGTTCTGAGGCTCCAGGAGGACATGAGTTTGGGGTGATACCACTCAGTCCTACCCAACCAGTAGACACTGCTCTGGAGGCTGAGCAGTGGTGGCTGATGGTCCATGTGAGAGCTTCACTCACAGGATGCAAGTTTGGTGGGTATGCTGCCTCTCGCCCTTTGGGATCTTTGCTTAAGCCCCTTCACCGCTGTTCTCCATCAGGACAGAGCTCCCAGAATTAGTGAGTGTGTCTAGTTGGTGCTCTTGCATTTTTTCCTTTTCAACCCCTCATGGTTTGGACCTTTGAAATCTTCCCAACAGGTCACTTCTGAGGGGCAGGAGAAGAGCCTGGAGCCAGATGATCCAAGTGAACTTTTTTTTAGAGTTATTTATTTATGCATACAAGAACTGGGGTACAGGCCAGAGGTGTGGGGAGGGGGCGGTGAGAGGACTCACCAGAGACAGAGTGGGGAACAAAACAGGCACACTGACTGACTGAAATGCACTGCTGAGGGGAGCTGTGGTCGAGGCAGGAGAGGTCTGCTGTGCCATGTAGGTAGCTCCCTGTCTGGGATCGAACTCATGCTGCAGAGGCTGCGAACAACCTCATAGGTTGCGTCTTAACCCCTTGAGCCACCAGGGAGGCCCAGGTTAACGTCGTTTTTAAAGAGCCTTTAGAGGCCTGCACATGTAAATGTGACATACACATGTGTTGGTTCCTGCTGCTCTTACAGCATCATTTTAGCAAACACAGTTTGCATTCCCAGGTTCCTTTTCCCCCTCTCACACCCTGCCCTGGGCCTTCAGGCAGCTGCCCCGACACCTCTGGCTTCTCCCTCAGGAGAGGAGGTACAGCAGGATAGCAGAACCAATGGATCCATTTTAACATTTGAGTTCCTAGACAGACTTTTTCATTTGTTTTTTAACTTTTTATTTTGACATAATTCCTGACTTGAGGAAAAGTAGCATGATGAGTAAACGGATTCCCATTTAATCTGCACTCAGATT